AGATTAGTATTCGTAGAAATTTTGATCTGGAACTGGAACCAAAAGATGAACCCCTATCTAAAACTCCTGGCGTTATGAGACAGGGTAATTCATTTGAGAAGAGCTCTAGTACATGGAAAATAAATGTTGGAAGAGGACCATTGGACCTCAGTAGCGAAAGTCCTTCAAGTAAACAAATGCATGATGATGGAGGCTTAGGTTTCAAAGCTATGACTAGCCACCTTCAAGATAACAGAGAACCCGAGGCACCTAACACTCACTTGAAAACTTTAGATACAAATGAAGCTGCTGTCAAAAATTCCGAAGAGCTAATGCACGTGGAACATAGCTCAAAGAGACATAGGGGAATTAAAGATGATGGAGCGCAAGTTAGGGATGACCGCAATGTGCTGAGGCGTTCAGAGGGCTCAGCTTTCTCAAGGTACTTTGTTAGAGTCATTGACACATTCTAATAGCTCTCTTATTCTTCACTTTACAACCTTGTGAATAACGTATTTAGAAGTATGAGATTGATTGTTGGACTTGTACAGATATAATCCAGCCTCAAATGTCAATAAGCTTTCCGGTGGGAACTTGGTAAGCAATTCGCTTCATGATAATAATAGCCAGGATCTTATAAAGAAGACTGAAGCTGCATGTGATTGTCACTCAAACATGAACGAGAATGAGAGTCTCCCTAACAATCACCGTTCACATGTTGGTAGCAATAACTTTGATATGAGTTCCACGACTGAGAACAACGCTTTCACCAAACCAGGAGCTCCAAAAGTAAGCTCAGCAGGATCTTCATCAGTCAAGCATTCATCATTTCAGCCTTTACCCTGTGATCACCATAATCATCAGACCTCCTATAACCTTGTCCATGTCGCTGAGAGGAAGCTACCGCCACAGTGTGGATCCTCAAATGTGTACAACGAAACAATTGAAGGTAACAACAACACAGTGAATTACAGTGTGAATGGAAGTGTATCAGGTAGTGGCCATGGAAGCAATGGGCCATATGGAAGCAGCAACGGTGTGAATGCTGGAGGAATGAATATGGGAAGTGATAACGGTGCTGGCAAAATTGGAAATGGCGATGGTAGTGGAAGCGGAAGCGGAAGTGGTAGTGGAAACGCAGCGGATGAGAATAAGATCTCTCAAAGGGAAGCTGCTTTGACAAAGTTCCGTCAAAAGAGAAAAGAGAGGTGCTTCAGAAAGAAGGTAAATTCATGAACAAACCTCTGACTGTTTCAATATGACGATATGTTTTGTGTCTTCTTACAAGAAAGAATGTGGTTCACAAGACTAATTTTCTAACATGTAATCAAAAACGCAAGCGCAGATATATTAGGGTTAATTAGCAAGGTCTTACGTAATAGCTTAGATGCAGACATATGCCTTTGGCTGTCATGACGGTTGTAAATCTAAGAACCGATATAAATCCATGGATTAACAAAACCAGTATTTGAAATTTGTTAAATGTTTCTTGCGTTTAGAATTGGATTTTGTTAAGAAAAATGTTTTTTCTCTTCTCAGGTACGGTACCAAAGCCGGAAAAAACTTGCAGAACAACGCCCTCGTGTCCGTGGCCAATTCGTCCGTAAAACAGCCAACGACGATAACGACATTAAAAACATTGAGGATAGCTAACGGAAAAAACTACAAAACCAACTCTTTCTCAGCCGAAAAACATGAGTAATGTGCTCATCATCTATCTTATAAATCTATCTGTCACATGTTTAACATTTTCCCTTCAAAGTCTGATTCTTTGATACTAGTACTACTACGATTCGCAAAACAAAGAGACGACGACATTTTATTGTTTGATATTGTCGTTGTCTGGTCGCATTTGTGAATTTAGGACGAAAGGTTCGGTTTCATAAGTTCCAGGATGTAGTGGAATCTTTGTAGATGTTGTAAAACAATAACCCCCGTTTGTATATTTATTTTTGTATAAGCTTGCTTTTGGAGCCGAACAATACGGTGTCGTATTTATACCAGCATTACCTCTTGTAATATGATTAGCTTATGTTGTAATTTTACTATAATAAAGCTATTTGAGTTTCATCCTAAAAGATATTGTCTTCGTTCACACCAATTTAGAAAAGGATCATTTCTACAATCAAATGATTGGAACTATATCATGGTGACCACGATTGTTGCTTGTTCAAGTTCTGTTTCAATATCAAAAAAAATTATTCAGTTTTATTACCTCTTTTGTTTGTTGACCTCTTTTGAAAGATTGATAAAATTTCGTTGGGTAGTTAATACTTTCATAAACTAATAATTTTTATTTGTCATTTTTTTCTTTGACATTAATTTTTATTTGTTAAAGTCAAACCAGTTACACACTAATTTGTATCACAAAAATTAAAATTAAGAAAAAAATTGGAAAAATCCAGCGATTGGAGCCGAGATTGGCTTGGCGTGCTCTTTTCCACATTTCAAAGTTCTCAGCTTTTTTCTCTCTCTCTCTCTTTCACTTTCGAGATCATCGAAGGCAATCAAAACGAAGAATCATTTGAAGAGGAAGAAGAAGAAGATCGAGAAGCTTAATGGGTTGGATCCCGTGTTCTGGGAAATCGAGCGGAAGGACTAAGACTCGGAGAAACGGTGACGAAAAACTCAACAGGAAGTCCTCTGACTGTTCTGTGTCTACTTCAGGTATTGCTCTGTATAGGTTTTCTCAGAATACATCCTTTGATTCTGGGTTTGAGCTTCTCTCAACCTAAATTTTGGAAATTTTTAAGCTTTGATCATTAGTATTCTTTCTGATTCTGGTGAGGCTTAATGCTGATTAGGGTTTTTTACTTTTTTTGTTCCTTCTGATTTCAATAGCTTCAGACTACTCTGATTCAGCTGTGTTACCCTTACTAGTGTTTTGACCTAAATGATGTGTTATTGCATGTCTCTTTTTGCGGATTATGTTACATCAGACATTGTTCTCCTGTTGAATACTCTTGTTGATGTTGTGGATTTAAGTTATTCTGATTAAATTTGATCGACTAAAAGCTGAAACGGGACTTTCTAAATCCTTAAATTTCTTGTTTTAATTTCTAAAGCTTTGATTTTTGGCTCCTGCGATGTAAAGTATTGATCTTTAGACACTTCTGCTGAGCTTGTGTTAATTAATTATTCCTTTTTCTTCTTGGTAGAGAAATCTAAGGCCAAATCGTCCTTTAGTGACAAGGGTGAATCCAAAAATAAAGGCTCTGATCACATTGTGGCACAAACGTTTACCTTCTCTGAGCTAGCTACTGCCACTAGAAACTTCAGAAAAGAATGTCTTATAGGGGAAGGAGGCTTTGGTAGAGTTTACAAAGGATACTTAGCCAGCACTGGCCAGGTTCTTTATTTTTGCTCGTTTCTCTGGTTTTAACCTTTTAAATGTTCTTAGTAGGTAAAGCTCACTGACATTGTTTTTCATTTGTAGACCGCGGCTATCAAGCAACTTGATCATAATGGTTTACAAGGAAACAGGGAGTTTCTTGTCGAGGTTCTCATGTTGAGTCTTCTTCATCACCCGAATCTTGTTAACTTGATAGGATATTGTGCTGATGGAGATCAACGGCTTCTTGTGTACGAGTACATGCCTTTAGGTTCACTAGAAGATCATTTGCATGGTATGCGCTTCTACACGCCTATGGCTACTTTTAAATTAATAAAATGTAGAGGAAAAGTCTTAAAATTTAAATCGAGCTATGCTTTTTTTTCCAGACATTTCACCTGGGAAGCAGCCACTTGACTGGAACACCAGAATGAAAATAGCTGCAGGTGCTGCAAAAGGGCTGGAGTATCTGCATGACAAAACCATGCCTCCAGTGATATATCGGGATTTGAAATGCTCCAATATTTTGCTCGGCGATGACTACTATCCAAAGCTATCCGACTTCGGATTGGCCAAACTTGGCCCAGTGGGTGATAAGTCTCATGTGTCGACTCGGGTTATGGGAACATACGGATACTGCGCTCCTGAATATGCAATGACTGGCCAACTAACCCTCAAATCAGACGTTTACAGCTTTGGTGTTGTTCTGTTGGAGATTATAACCGGTAGGAAAGCAATAGACAGTTCAAGATCCACTGGAGAACAGAATCTAGTCGCATGGGTAAGGAAGAGAAATAATTGGGAACAAGCTTTGTTTTCTCTGTAGATTCTTCCTTCTAATTGTATTCTATGAAATGTTCTCTTTCAGGCAAGGCCTTTGTTTAAAGACAGGAGGAAATTCTCTCAAATGGCTGATCCAATGCTTCAAGGTCAATACCCTCCGCGAGGGTTGTACCAAGCACTCGCTGTAGGAGCGATGTGCGTGCAAGAGCAGCCAAATCTTAGACCTCTCATTGCTGATGTTGTCACTGCACTCTCTTACCTTGCCTCCCAAAAGTTTGATCCTATGGCTCAGCCAGTTCAAGGCTCCCTTTTTGCTCCTGGGACTCCACCTAGATCAAAGAGGGTCTGAAAACAATCCAGAGAATCGCAATACCGTGTGAGTTATATTCCCTAGACTGATCCTGGGCTGTCTTTTTTTATTGGGATGGGTTTCAGACTAAGTATGAAGGGTACTGCTTAAGATCTGCCTGTAGATATTTGTAAGAAGAGAGAGAGAGATTTATAAAGAGGCCGGTTTGTAATGTTGTTATAGGTGATGGTCTTAAGAAGTAATGTTATGTAGCATTTGCTTTGAAATGCGACAATATCTCATTATATTGTATCGAGGAATGTCTCTGTTTTCATTCCTGAATTATTGTAATATATACTACAGCTCCAAAACTCTTGAAGGATAGAGATTTTGATTGTATTACTATTATTTGTTGTTAATACTTGTAAAGGTATCAAATATAGACAAAAAAAAAAGGAAAATTTTCACTGCTACAAACTGTATTGTATTCTCGGTCTAGCAATAGAAACAAACGACGTAGAAAGGTAAAAATTTAAGTAATATTTACAACGCTCTCTCAAAAGACAAAACATAAACATCAGTTGACAAAACCTCGAGAGAGGAACAAAACTGATCCAGTCCGGTAGTAAATTCATAGAAAACTAAAGAAGTGTTAGGAAAGACTATACACGAAGATTAAATTCTTAGAAAAGGAACTTTCTTCTGGGTTTGAGTTGAATCCCAAAGTTGACCAAATTCATCATAGTCACAAGACCACACTCCTCTCCTCCTCCATGGAGTCAACAAAAAGATCTTTCCGATCAGACTCTTGAAAGAGGAATCACTGATGGGTAGCCTCGGGTGCGACGCCCATGGAGATTTGAACGACGCAGAGTTTAGTAAACCCTTGCCTTCAATTGGTTTATACGTTGCTGTAGCTTCACTGATCTGCGGACTAGCCATGGCCGCAGATCTTCTTCACGGCTTCCGACACCGCAAATTCTGGTTTCCCTGTAAGTTCTTCTCTCTCAACGCAACTTCTCTGACTTTCATCGGCGTCGGGATCAAACTCTCTGTCGATCTCAACACTTCGATGCCGAGTCGCCACGATCAGTTATCTAAACTAAGTAGCAGCGTCTTCGTGTGCACAGTGATGGGCAATTCCATGCCATCTCTGGGTATTATGGAGAACCAAGATCTCCTCATGAATCTCATGGCCTTGGGGATTCTTGTTATCACCGACGTTGTCAACATCTGTATCCAGTTGGGCACAGGTGCCATCTATGTTTTCAAAGAAGAACACTTTCTTGTTCTGCTCCTTATGCTTCTTATGCTACTAATCTTGAGTTTCTCGGCCACTACAGTCCCAACCAGCAAAAGGATCTTGGAAGCCAAATACAAGAAGAAGTATGTTGCCTTGAAGTGTTGTCCTTTGGTTACAGAGAGGACAACAGTAGCTAAGAGGATTCAGCAAGACTTGTCCAAGTTCTGGATGATGGCTCACACCAGTAGCCCTCAGTTCGTGATGGCTCGTTCTGTCACGTGCACTGCTTCTGGCTTCTTCTGTCTCTTGAGTGCTGTTACTTTAGGTGAGGCCATGGTTCGATCTTATCTGTTGACACCGAAGTCACTCGGCTTCTGCCACGGAGATTCTGATTACAAATGGTCAACCTTTTTGGTTCTTGTTTGCCAGACTAGTGCAGTAGCCATAGGGACTGTTGCTCCTGCCACCAGATGGTTCACGGCTGTGAATTTTCACTGTCCGATAAGAGGCAAGAAGTCTTACAGAGATGAGTTTAGAGTAGAGAGCTACTGGACGCATTGGTTCTCTGAGAAGAAACAACGTCCCTTAAGCCTTTCGAGCCTCAAAAATCGTAGCTGCAGGAAGATTGCACACGATGCGAAACGCTGGGTATTGGATGTATGTATAGGAATACAGTATGTTATAGTGTTTGCAAGCAAAGTTATCCGTTACATATCTGTCTACTGTGTGAGTAGAATCTTGATCTGCTGTCATTTTGCAATCAGAACAACGGGCTCTGTTTCTCACGTTGAGTCAGAAAGTTCAAATCCAAGCTCGAGACAGGAGTTTGCGAAGTTTGTCTTGCATCTTGAAGGAGAGGACGAGCTGGTAGATTTGATGGTGCGGAACAACCGTGAGGCCACGGATCATTGGGTAAAGAACGGCAGAAAAAAACAACCGGTAAATTTGATAGAACTTTTGGAAGCAACAACAACCATTTCAAAAGGGTTTGAAGGGATTAAAGACTTTGACAGCAACGAGGTAGCTTCTCTTGCCGCATCTGGTGAGCCACCGAATTGTTGGGCTCTCCCGCTGGTAACACTTACAACCATCGCTGTAGCTCTTCCCAATGTCAAGCCTTGCTCCGTCAAAAAGCTGCTTAATGCTGTCAATGAGGCCCTGGACTCAGTCAGCAAGTTTGAACACATCCTAGATACCGGGGGAGAGTTAGCTAACCTCAGGAAAGCTGCTGAGGTGGTTTGGCTAGGAGTTGATCTCTATCATAAGTGGTTTGATGTGGATCTTTGGAAACTATCCAAGCAACATAAAAGTCCAGAAGAAACACTTAGGGAGCTCGTGGAAGTCGCGAAGAAAGAGTTTTCAGAGTCGTGGCAGATGAACCTAATGGCCTGCATGAAGCACAAACCCTCCCATTGGCCTATCAAGACTCTAGCGGCCAACTCCATGTACCGAATATGTCAAACCATTCTGTACAGTTACGAATCAAGAGACTACGGAACAGGGGAAGCTCTGTTGAAAAATCTGGAAACCACAATCTCGGACATAGTTGCAGGTTGTTTTTGCAATGTAGGGCAAGTGATATCCGTTAAGTGTTTGGTGACAGCTGTAGAAGTGAGGGAAGAATCAGTAAGAGGAGCAGCCCTGCATCTCGGGAAAACAGAGAAGATTATAGAGATTGTAGAGAGAAGATGCTTACCTGAATTGAAATGTGATCAGATGAAGAGCATCGATGAATGGAGAGCATTCTACAAGATTAGCTCTTCTGACTTTAATAACAAGACAGTTTCCCCCGACTTAAATGAGCTGTGCATCTTTGTTGGATAATTTGCAGACGTAAGTATGAAAATATTGCTCACGAGATGTTTGTATCCATATAGAGGACTTGGTTTATAATGTTGTTTATAGGTGATGTCTTCACGTGTAATTGATATGTAGCACTTGCTTTGAAATGTAACAATATCTCATTATATATTTATATCTAGTTCTTGATTAGGATTTAGGAGGAATGTCTCTGTTTTCAACACTGGTAATGCTTAAGATTTTGAATGTATTACTATAATCTGTGTGTTTAAAAGATAATAATATCTTTGGATATTGATTAACAGTAATATATTGCTGCATATAACTTTTAAGTACATAGCTTGTTTAGTTATTGCATCAAGTGGTTCTTCCTTCATATCCATACCAGGTGGTTTGGTCCAGTACACTATACTGCCTAGTTTCAACACTTTCAATGCTTGAGATTTTTGTAATGGTTAGTTTGATAGAAAATAATATTTATAACGTGTTGTATAAGATTAAATTGTGTTAATGATGCAAATATTTTTAGCAATTGCTTCTTTTGAGCACAATGGAGACGTTATCGTCTTGAGAAAGTGTTGCAGCCATCTGAAGCAGCTCTTCAAACCATTGTGCATCATTAAAGTAAGTACCTCCCAACCATACAACCATCCTCTCAAGTGTCTTTGTGTTTCTCAGCACCAATTCCATGAACGAAGCCAAGAGCTTCGACGTTGCATCGTTACAACCCAACATGTTATAGATCTCCTTTGAGGTAGGAAACGCCTCACATTCTGATCTCCAACATTGATCCGGGTATAAACCTTTTAAAAGATGCATATCCTGTAGATAAAAAAAAGAAGAAGTTATATATCCAAAGAAAAGTGAAAGACATGCATGGGTTCGTGCATGAAAGAGTGTTCCTAGTCCGTAACTAGTTTGCATGGTCTTATAAAAATATATACAAGGAAACAATGAAAGAGGTTTGTGGTAAAGATACCATTATGCGATGGCTGTGCATTGTGTGTAATGTTAGCTTCTTTAGTCCAGGTGAATTTTGTAGTAACCTTGATAGACCAGGGATAATAGACCGAACAAACTCCGTTCTAACAATCAAAGTTTGAATCTTGAGCGTCGGGAAAGGAATACCACGGAGCTCGGCGAGAGATAGGATCTAACAAAACGAGATGAAACACTAAAAAGGTCAAACCAATGAAAACATTTGTTAGATAAAAACCACTTAACTAGCACGTTCACGTTTCCAAGGCCGCCTTCTTCATGCATTATTATGGTAATTAAGTTGTAGGATTTAGGAGTATGCCAAGATATATATACCTGAAGAAGGGTTTCCCCAACAGTAAGCCTTTCTACGTTGTGTGATTTTGCTAGCATCTCCAGCGCCATGGTTTGATAAAGATCAGCTTGCGAGGGGAGGATTAAGTATCTGTTAATGGTAAGGTCAGCGTCGGTCAGAGATGAGACATCCACTAAAGTGGACGGTTTCGACGAGTATGTCAATCTCAAATAATGGATGTGTGGCGCTACAATGACAACTGGCCCTGCAAGCGGATATTCCCGATTTATATATAATCTCTTCAAACTCGGTGATTTACTCAGATCAAGACGCTCAAGTAATTTGCATGACTCCAGTGTCAAGCTTTCGAGGATTGGGCAGCCAGAGAGAATATTATCAATGGATTCATCTGGAACTTGACAATAACGCAGAGACAAGTTCCTTAGGGATTTCCAAGACACTTTGCACGTGGGAATCATAACACAAAAGCTCACTTTCACGGTGAGTTGCTTTAAGGATGAACTGAGATAGAAGAAAACTGGAAAACTGTAAGTCTTGGAGAATTCAAAATCTAAGATGGCCACAGAAAGCTTCGGCACATTGCGGGAGATAGCAAACTCGATCCAGCTATCAATCTGGTGGCAAGAGTTGTAATTAAGGCTCATGACTAAAACTAGTGATTTTGGGAGTCGTGTAGGAATTAGTTATTAGGGTTTGGTTTATCACTCCATCCTCGAATCTACTCTGATCGATATCGAGACAAGGTGTCTCGCACCAAACATGCCTCCACCGTCTGGATAAAACGCAAGTTCTCATGGCCAACTTGGTGGGAATAAAGGAGAGAATATGATGAAGGATCTCATCTGGCATATAGTTGATGAAATCTGCACCGTCGATTGGTTTGATGAGTTTTCGGTGGTTAGGGTTTCTACGGCGTTTTCGGCGGCCCCGTTTCTCTCGTCTACTCGCCATGATAATGCAGATCAATGTTCTTAGGTTTTATTTTGCTTACACAACAAGTTTCTGTTAAATATTGAGTTTTTCCTTTAGCTAGATTTGCTAAAAGTAAAACAAACAAAAAAAAAACAAAAAAACTAATAATGAAAAGGAAATTCCTACTAATAAGGCCCCAAATATATTTATCTATACAATTTGAGTCTAAATGGGTAATTTGTTGGGTTTAAGATAAAGTCATAAAAGTCAACTTCAATATATTCAGTTTAATTATACTTTCATTTAAGTTTAATCTTACAATCAAAATTTATGAGGCATTCAAGATTTTTTGGAGGAGCTTTATGAATTTTAAAAATAAATATCGCATTTTCTTATGTAACTAGTAAGTCAAGCCTTCACTTAGAGGATAGCGTTATAATAAACGTAATTATAGATAAAAACAGATAGGCTGAATTAATATTTATTATTTTTTAATTATATATATTTTTTCTTTTTAAACATAATAATACTAATGAAGAAAAAACCCTCCAATGAGATAGAATACAAGAGCAATATTTTTGTTTTGCAAAATAAAAAATAGAAGACGAAGCCATGAAAAACAAGAAAGACCAGTCTTGAATCCTTTATTATGAGACTCAAATGACGTGTCACTCTATATTGGCAGCAACGTCTATATTTTCTCGTCTCCTCTTGCTTTTATATACTCCAATTCAAACACCTTCTATAAAACTAACCAAACCCTAATCTCTCTTTCCGCTTTAACGTTTCTCTATTTCTTCTTCATCAGCAAGTAAACTCTCGGTCATCTCCTCTTTTCAACAGAAACAGATTCGACCCTCTCCTCTACTCTTTCCATCTCTCTCCCAACTCTCCCTAAAAACCCTAATCTTTCCCCCCACCCCAAACATGGCCGACTCCAAGGAACCTCCACATAAGTTGGCCACAACTTACTTCGAAAGGGGATACATTGTGAAAGCGTTGAAGGTCATAGCAAAGTCGTTATCTTCACCTTCTGTCCATGGGGAAGAGAAGGAGATGTTTGATTTTCTAGAAGGAGAGATACTTGAAGAGTTGGGTAAAAATTCAGGTAATCTTGGGTTAAAGTTTACATATATGGTAGGTTCAGTTGAATCTTTTTCCAAAATCGATTCATATCCTCTGTTTTATGCGTATGCTCTGTTCAACCTGGTGCATCACTATGAGTCGGCTGTATTTTACAAGATTGCTCTAAGGCAAGCCCAAAAAGCTCGGGACTTTCTTGCCTCGATGATGATGTCCCCGGAAAACGCCTCTTCCTTACCTGATTTGCGAGCGGATAGGCAGTTTTTGGAATTAAAAATTGATACTTTAGAAGCCAAAATTGCTGACGGTCCTGTTGCAGATATGCCCGTTGGTCCTCCTCCCAGCATATGTCGTTTTGGGCAGGTTCAGGATATAAAGGATGTGGAGAGAATGAAGTCGTATTGGTTAGGTTTGGATGATAATTTCAAAAGGGGTTTTATGAAGGTTAGAATAGCTGAGTTCGAAAAGTATGTCAAGGCCAAAACTGGTAGAAAGGATTTCAAGAAAGTTATAAAGTATGTTCAGAAGACACAAAAGTGGATAGCATGGAATTGCCGAAATTGTGAGGGTTTGTTTTCTACTAGTGATGAATGTAGGGATCATATTGAACAAGAACATGCTGCAGGATCAAAAGCTTCTTCGAGAAAGCATACGCCCCAGAGGATAAATGATGACTGGGCAAAAAAGGTACGGTGTGGAAGTTGGGAACCTGTGGATGCGGCAGCTGCTCTTCAAATGATCGAACATCAATATTCAGATGTAAAACGGTTTGCATATCAGGGTGGATGGTGCAAAGACTGGCCTTTAGCTAGGGATGCAGAGCGCAGTGCTGCACTCAGAGGAATCAGATCACTCCTTGTACCCTTAATTGAGCACAAGGTTCTGTTAGATAGCTTTCGAGACAGGGTGATACATTCTTTGGTTGAAAATCTTGGCGTTTCCAGAGAGAAGCTAAGTGACTGTCGCCTAGTGGAAACTCCTCAGAGTATTTGTTTTCTGGAATGTCATGAACTCAATCAAATCCTGGCTTTTATAAGCAGTTTCAAGTTTGAAAGGTATGACTGTGTAGATCTGGTTAGCAGAGCAGTGGAAACAGTGTGGCAGAGTACTCGGTTTAAAGAAAGAATCGACTTTGACCTGAAAGAAACATTTCTACTTCTGGATAAGAGACTGCTAAGAGGCCAGGTTGATCATTTCGACGATGAAGGAAGAGTAAATCATTTTGAACCAACTGTTCACTACGCCAGGGTCCATCCTCGTGGAGATGATATTGTGACGTGGTTGAAACACCGTTTTCCCGAGGATGACGGGTTTGCGTTTCCCGAACCTGTCTCTATGCACAACTTTGACATTTGGGTGGCTGTTATGAGAGGGTTTCACTTCACGTGTAAGACCTTGGAGACCAAATATGCTAAGAGGTTGACGTTAATAGAATATTATGAAGCACTTACAGAAGTAAGGGAGATATGCCAAAAGGAGAAGAATGATACTGCCCTTACTCAAGTTATAAGAGAGATATGTTAAGCGAGCAATGTAATAAGAATACCAGTAAGAAGTCATTCATCTGTGCTGTACAAGATGTTCTGAAAGGATCAGCGTTCCCTGCATTTGATTTTCAAGATTTAGAAGATTGTCTGAAGTTTATACACGACCACTGTGACGATGACAGTGATGATGAACTCATGAGCGCCATCAAGTGTCTGGAAGCAACTGTGAAAGAAAAGGTTCACCTTGTTAGCTGCACTTTTTTAATCAAAAGTAGCATAAACATTAACTTGTTTAGCTTCCCTAACGTATCTGTCTGTCTACTGATCTTTTTGTTGCAGGTCACTCTGATGGATTCGAGGATTTTTCTGATTGAGGAGTCCAAGACCCAATTTGTTACGTGTCTCACCAAACTTGCCTGCATCGACTACCGCACCTACATTTGTCCTCCTCTAAAAATATTTTTAGTCGATGCTCTAAAGAGAGGGCGTTGGTAGTTGCTTGCTTGATGTACTCTTCAACTCTTTGTTGTAATTCGTTGTTTCTTGTATTCAAAAGTCTGGAGAGATTTATACAATAAGATTTTGAAGTCTATTGGTTTGTAAAGTTGTGTCAATTTTATTTTCTTTTTTGGGGTTATATAAATATGAGTGGTGGGTCATTCATACAATGACAGACAAAGATAATAAAAAAGGGCTTTTGATGAATGAGCTTTGGAGGACAATGAATAATGAATTGTGAGATTTGTGAGCTATGGATAATGAATTGAGTAGCTTTTAAAGCTGAAACAAGGTTCAGCTAATTCGGATGGCAATTACGAAAAAGGTAAGGTCAAAGTTCTGAATCCCATATGTCGATTTCTTTGAGCTCGATTGTTTTTGGTGCTGAGTAAAATCCCTGTGACGAAATTGGCCCTTCTCGGATTTGATATTTCTGGGTTTCGTCTTTTGACGCTCGATGAATTTTTTTTATTTTCTCTCTTTTCGATGAAATGTTTGAACTTTGCTTCGGAGGGGAAAAAGTCATCAACTTTGCTGTTGTCTCCTCAGTTTTTCAATAAAAGTTATGAACTTTGCTGGTCTCTCCTCATTTTATGAACTTTGCTGCCACCATTCTATCATCTCTTTCTGTTTGACCAAGGCAAGGTTTGTTCTTTTTCACTTTTTACAAAATGAACAAGTTCAAAAAGTTACCATATGTGATTTCTGCTTCCATGCTTCAATAAATAACTTGGTCTAGTATAGGTCTCTGCCAATGTGTTGTTGTTGCTTGCTCCTGATTTGCTTTTGTTATAGCTTTGAATATGCCTTGTTATGATGCCTGCCTTTATGCTGAACACCTCTGTTTCCACTTTGATTTTGATTTTATCTAAATGCTTTATCTCAAAACTTTTTATGTAGCTACGGAAATCTGAAACATATACCATCACTAGGATTGTGTTTTCTCAACTTCAATCTCCTATCCTCTTTGCTTTTGTTATCCGCGCTTGTTCTTTAGGCAGTCCAAACTGTAGCATATTTCTAAACCTGAACGATGTTGTTTATGGTTTTCTTCGCCTATTTGCCTGAGCTTGGAGGTGTTTAATCGTGAGAGCGTCTCCTTTCCTTGCTGGAAATGCTTTGATGGTGTCTAAAAGGACCCTTCTGGGTTCTCTGTTTGTTGTCGTGTTTAATTAATTGGTGAAACTGCCTACAAATTCTGGTCTTTTGTTCAACTGGTGATGGTGAAGTAGCACTACTTACAAAATCTAATGATGGCCTTACCTGTTTCTCATGATGACTTTGCCTTACCTGTTTCTGCCAAACTGTTTCTCATGATGACTTTGCCTTTCCTGTTTCAGCTCATTGTCATCTACTAGTTTGCTGTAACATTTTCCATGTAATCATCTGATGGCTTTGTTGACCTATATATAAATTTAACATACCAATTCCTAGTGCCGCTTGAGATTCTGTTTATGGTTCCTTTTATATATATATATATGCATCTCCTCCTTGTTACCAGTTAGTTACTCTCTTTACCAAAGGCTGACATAAGATTCCACAACACGTTTTTATATACTCTTCTTAACCTCTTATTTTTTGTGTTACCAAACATGGTACACAAGTTATGTTTGCCCATTTGCTCAACGAGTTTGGATCACCAGAAACTTCAAGTTTTAACAGCTTCTTCGTTCTACAAGTCTCTCACCTTCATCAACATCTTTTTCGTCTTTATACAAAGCTTAGAGATTAGGGATTTTGGAAGCCGGGTTGGTTAGCTGTTAATTTTCACGTTCCCAAAAGCTATACTTTAGCATCACAGTGATAGCAGTATAGGACTCTGTATACAAGATTTGGTTGATTTCTGTGGTGGATTGTAGGGTTTGCAAGAAAAGATTACAATTGTTCCTTTGGATCTTTGAACTAGGCCTGCTTGGTACAAGGAGATGGTATATTCAGAGAAAAAGGTTACTAAAGCTTCTATATTTATAACTCACGAATTCGTATGTTACAGATCACGTTTTGGCTATAACTTGGTGGAAACTTCTTGTTATCTTTTGCAGGTGCATGTAGTTGTGCACAAGGGAAAAATCATTGGGGAGAGTCTGGGTTTGATCAAATATCTGGCTAACACTTTTAGAGTGACCTTCTCTTTACCCCGAGGTAACACCAGACCATACCATACCAGGTATTGTTTCCATTCATTAATCTCTGATTGCGCAATTCATTGCCCTTTCCAGGATCATGCAAAAAGAGAGATTAGCGACGAGTTATCAAAGTGCACTGATACTTTCATTAAAACTATGTATGCCATTCAAAGGAGATCCCTCTAAAGAAACCTGTGAGTCTTCAAAGTTTTTAGCGTTTGGGGGTGAAAGCAAAAGAGAGATGACTGAAAATTCCGTGTTCTTGTTGCAGCACCTGTGCTAGATTATCTGGAAAACGCTCTGTATAAGGTCGACGGTGGGTGTTCTTCATTGGTCAGTTAAGCTTGGTATAAGCCTCATTGGCCCTTTTTAGGATCCGATATTTCTCCTTTGGTTTGTCTTAAATTTGTCTGTTTGAATTTTTTGGTTTCTTTAAGGTTGGTATCGCCTATATCCAGTTTCCTTGAAATCGTGCTCAACGAATTATTTATGTGTGATATTACTGCAGAACGCCCCAAACTATCGGCATGGACAGGATCTAGCCATCTAGGTATATTAAGTTAAGTAAAGATAGCACTTATCCTCATTTGTGATTGGTACTAAAATAATCGGTATTATGTTTGCAGGAAAGGAACAAGATTGATGGCTATGCACAGACGAAAATCAATCCTAATGAGATTGTGGAGATTTTTGAGAAAAAATTCATGGTAAGTCACACAGTTAGGAATTACTTTATTAACTGAGCTACGACATGGTTTATTAGATTCAAAGTCCATCTTATTCCAATGGATGGAAATTTTGCGTCTTAAAACATTTCAGACGCAAAGGCCATACACTAATCATCAGCTAGTATAAGGCCAAATGACTTGTTAGATATTTTCTCGGTTAATGGTCTAATACCAAATCTGAGTCTTATTCCCTATATATTCTTGCAGTAAGGAAGCACCAAGAAGTAAAGTGTACCGGACCAACCCACCTTGTACGAACAGGTGGTTTTTTGGTATGAAGTGTAAGAATCAGATGATGCAATAAGATATGGACTTAACATGCAGCAACAACTTGATCTACATTTTAGTGTTAATCAAGTATCAACTATTGACATTGTTAATCTATTATTAACACATGAATTATGTATAATTTTGGAATATAGTCACCATCCTTCGTATTCACACTTACATGAAGCGTGTGAGTTTGCCTTTTGTCGTAAGTAGCTCCACTTCATATCCTAAAACCTCTTCTCTTTCTTTGTCAATGTCGATATGATGCAGAGATACCGGAAATCAAATTGCCAAACAACAAGTTCTGTTGTGAGGTGGAAGTCGAGAACTTGAACAAAGTTATGGCACATAGGCCTCTTGAAGATGTTTTCTCGAGAAATTGAAGCAGACAAGCGGGTTTACAATTCAGTGAGTGAGCAAAAAATATTTCCGAATCATGTGAATCTTTGTCATTTAGCAATTTTCACATCTTGATAAAGTGAAATGTATATTTATATGTTCAAAACTGCTAATTGTCATTGTTAATCCCTTTCATGGTAATGTAGATTTTGATTTCATCTCTGTTCTTTTATATCTTTGTTCATGCGTTAGATTCTGATTCACAAGCTTATATAGTATGGGTTAAATTACTTAAATGTGTTACTCTTTCCGGTTTATTGTTACATTATCCTTTCCGGTTTATTGTTACATTATCCACTCCGATGATGTGTTACTCTTTCCAATTTTTTGAGACTATGATATTTAGCAGTTTTTATTGCTATCATAGTTTATGTGTTAAAAGATAAATAATGTCAATGGTTGACAATTGATTAAAACTATTGATTACTATAATACAGATAAAGCTATTGTTGCACATCTTATTGCATCATCACATTCTTACTTCATATCCAAAGACCACCTGTTCGTACAAGGTGTTGTATTGGTCCGGTAACATGACTTCTTAGTGCTTCCTTACTGCAAGAATATGACTCAGATTTGGTATAGACCATTAACTGAGAAAATATTTAACAAGTCGGCCATAGTAATAGCTTTAGAGTTCTGGTGCATGGCCTTTGCTTTTAAATCTTCTAAAACGCAACACGCCCGTTGAAGAAAGTTAGAAAGATGGGCTTCTCTCTGACCTGGATGCTAAACCAACTCGGTTTTCATTCCCAAAACCGAAAACCAACAAACATTCACACCTAGACAACCAGAGATACTAAAAGAGCTTCTAATCCCCAAGAAAAGATGGTGCAATTCACCTCTGGATCCAATGAAATCAATAAAGTATATCCTAATTATATGACTTACCATGAATTTTTTCTTGAAAATCTCCACAATCTCCTTGGGATCGATTTTCGTCTGTGCATAGCCATCAATCTTGTTCATTTGCTGCATACATAATACCGAGATCACTTCAGTACCAATCACTAATGAGGATAAATGCTATCTTTTCTAACTTAATGGAGGTGGCATATATACCTCGATCCATGACGATAGTTTAGGACGTTCTGCAGTTATGTCACACTTCAATAATTCGTTGAGTACGATTTGAAACCTTTCGACGAACGGGATATAGGCGATATCAACCTTAAAGAAAAACAAAGAATTCAAATAATCAATTCAATATAAAGAAGAGGAGATGTAAAAGGATCTCAAAAAGGGCCAAAGAGGCTTTTACCAAGCTTAACTGACCGAGGAAGAATGGCCCATCATCAAACTTATACAGAGCGTTTTCCAGATAATCTAACACAGGGGCTGCAGTAAAAAAAAACATTCCGGTCATATCTTCCATGATTTCACCCTTGATAGATCGAAACATTGAACAGTCTATATTCTCACCTGTTTCTCTAAAGGGGTCTCCTTTGAGTGACATATACATAGTTTTAACGAAAGTATCAGTGTACTTCAATAACTCGTCGCCAAATTCTCTTTTTGCATGATCCTAGAGAGGGCAAAAGAATTGTGGAATCAGAGAACAATGAAGTGAAACAATACTTGGTATAGTATGTGGTGTTACCTCAGGGTAAAGTGAAGGCCCTTCAAAAGTGTTATCAAGATATTTGATCAAATCCAGACTCTCCCCAATGATTTTTCCATTGTGCTCAAGCGCTGGCACCTGCAAAAGATAAACGAGAAGATTCCACCAAGTTATAATCAAAATTTGAAATGTAACAAATGAATTCGGTGAGCTATCAGTAGATCAAGTAATAAGTACCTTGTTCTCTGGATATACTTTCTCCTTGTACCAAGCAGGCCTATTCCCAAGATCCAAAGGAACAAGTTTAATCTTTTCTTGCAAACCCTACAACCCACATAAACCAACCAATCAAAATCCAGTGCAACTACTTATAAATATATAAACCTAGGCAGAAAGATAAAATTTGTTTGCAGAAGAAGCAGATTCTTTCACTTCTATTAACGTGATACTAATGTATAGTTTCTTGGAAATCATAAGACCAAAGATAACCAAGCCGGCTTCCAAAATCACAAATCTCTAGCTTTGTATATATAGACCCAAACAAAAAAAAACAGTTGTTGAAAGTGAGAGACTAGCACAAAGGAGAAGCTGTTAAACCTTGAAGTTTCTGGTGATCCAAACTCGTTGAGCAAATGGGCAAACGTAGCTTGTGTACAATCTTTGCTAACACAAAAGAATAAGAATTTAAGAAGAGTATAGAAAAAAAAAAAAAAAAAAGTGAAGTAGAGTATTAAGCTAAAAGCAGATACATAAGACGCAGAACGAAGATTATTATAACCTTGTGGTTCCGTCGAACAGAGCCGGTGGATCAGCAGTAGCATCGAGCAGAGCTGGACGTTCTTCTACAACACTGTCTCAGAAGGATCAAGCCAACCATACAAAAAGAAAGAAAAAAAAAACTTAAAATTCCCAAATTTTAAGATAAAAACATGAAATTGCGGAAACCCAAATTCGACCAAACTCAGTAAAAAAAACTCTTGAGTTTCGGGATAAAAACAACAAATCTTACATGGGAGACGCCATTGAAGAATACGTATTAAGGAGCAAAACTCTTTCAAAGATCTGATTCTGTCAAAATTAAGGATTTCTGATAGATAATACGAAACAGAAAAGTAAACAACGCTAAAGACCGGAGTGGTAACGTTATTCGTGTTTATTTCTTGAGATGACAGACGATGTGACACGTGGCAATTTTGAGGATCTTTGTAGTTGTCGATAGTAACTCGACATCTCATAGTGGGCCGTAAACGAATTGGTTTAACAACGAACTAAAGCCCGTTGGCTTAGTTTTCAACCATAGCCGAGCCCAATTTATTATTTGACATTTGTTTAATCCCAGCACAAAGAAGTCAAGAACCATGTCTCTTTTGATTTTAAAGTAAAAGTAAAATACAATAACCAAATCTTTTTTTTTTTAAATAAGTTAACCAAATCTTTTTTTTATTATATATCAAACTGAGAACACCGAATTTCAGAAATCCATAACACTCTCAAGTTGTAGTATATGTTTTTTTTTTAAGTTGTAGTATATGTTCTTCATCAGCCAAACATATCATCATTAAGCCACGACTGGGTCCAACAACAGATTTGTTACTTTTTACTGCAAAAGAAAAACCGGAACCGGTTTAGTTTTGTTAATTAGAGAACGTTATAACAGGACAAAAATGGCAATTGTTGTGTTCGATCAAATATGAAACTAGAACGTTTAGAAAAGTGATTTTGATATTGTTGTTGAGAATTTATATATAGAAGCTCGCTCGTACCATGAACTTCTTGAAATAGTTAACGGTATAATCCGAGTCTGTTTTCGTCTGCGTATACGCAACCATCTTATTCATTTTCTGCACATGCAACATATATACACATTAAGGTTAAAGCTAACAATCAAGCAGCTAAATCATATCAAAAGCTTTACCATATATGTTCATGATGTGTATAACATGTGTACCTCAATCCAAGTAGCTAGGTTTGGACGTCCGATAATGATTTCGTATTTGAAAACTTCCTCGAGGAAGACTTGGAATCGTTCGATAAATGGGAGGTATGCGATATCAACCTAGAAGAAAAAAAACAAGATCGATAAATTTTTTAAACATAGTGAAATAAAACCAGTGGCCATTCACACTTTTATTTTAGTAGCTATATAGTAAGACTTTTATTATACCAAACTAAGCTCGCCGAGGAAGAATGGACCATCATCATACTTGCTCAAAGTATTCTCCACGTGATCGAAGACCGATGCTGCGTCAAACACACACACACAAGTTTCAGCTCCTACGTCTGATTTTTTTTGACTCGTATACATTTATTTACTTTCGAGTTGTGATAATAATACTTTCAGAAAATGTATACAATTATACCAAGGGAGACGAAAATCAATCTTACCAGTTTCTTTAACCGGGTCACCTTTGAAAGAGCCAAACACGGTTTTTACGAATGTTGCATCAACATATTTCAACAAGTCTTCGCCAAACTCTCTCTTTGCAGGATCCTAGACCAACGATTGAAAAACCTCATTGAAAGATTATTATATTACATGAAAAGAACAAGCTCTAAAACATCCAGAACAAGATCTTACCTCAGGGTAAAGTGAAGGCCCATCGAAGTTGCTATCGACATATTTGATTAAATCAAGACTCTCCCCAATGATTTTCCCATTGTGTTCAAGTGCAGGAACCTACATATATCATTATCCCAATCTCAAGACTCTTTTATTGTCACTTTTCAAGGAACCTTAATTTAATTTTATAAGGATTCGAAATAATCGTTTCCGCATGGACACCTTGTTATCAGGATTTACTTTCTCCTTGTACCAAGCTGGCCTATTAAAAAGGTCTATAGGCACTAATTTGATCTCCTCTTGCAGACCCTAAAACATCCCCCAAATATCAAACGAGTTAATAACCCAATCTTGTCAATCTCAGTTTCACATACACACAACCAAAAAAAAGAAAAAGAAACACAAAGAGTACCTTGAGGTTTCTGATAATCCAAACACGTTGGGCAAATGGGCAGGTGTAGCTCATGTACAACCTTTTTTTTTGTTTCAATTTTTAATTAGCAAACGAATTTATATTTAACACATCGAAACTTAATTAACAAATGTTTATCGAAGCTTAGACTTTTATTAAAATACTAAAGAAAACAAGATAAAACCTCGTGGTGCCGTCGAACAGAGCAGGTTGATCGGAGGTAGCATCGAGAGGAGCTATACGATCTTCTACGATAATTTTTCTTTCATAAAGAAATTAGAGAAAAATAAGATTTAACATGACGATAACTCAACTTTATAATAATCAAGAAACCTCGTAAAGTATATAAATAGGAGGATCTTACCGAGGAGACAGAGCCATGGAGAGGATCGGTAAGAGATGTTACTTCAGGGGATTGGTCTTTTGTGACAGAGATGATGTTTTGCAGGGAACTATATATATATATGGATCAAACATATAATACTGCGACGCCACTGTATATATACTAATATACACTCAAATGGAAACTGGAATTAGAGGCCAGGTTCATGCTTATCGTACCAACGGTGACTATTAGAAAAAAGTAAAAGACGTCAGCGTTTGATTATCTTTGTCGTTGAACTTTATAATTTTTCATTGTTAGGGTCAAAAGCTTCTCGATACTTTGTGTGCGAAAATACTAATCACGCACGTGAATACTAGTAAGTTCATTTTTTTTCTTTTTCTTTCAAGTGATGAATTTTCTCTATAGCAAATGAAAACAAGTTTAGAGAAGAAAAAAATGGTTTAATGATATGATATAAATTTCACTAGGAACATTATTTGATTTTGTGGAAAACTTCATTATGACAATCGGGACACACGCACATTAAAGAAAAAGAAAAAAAAAAGAAAAAGGAATAAAATACAGTAGTGGTCAGAAAGCTCATGCTGTTATATATCCAAGCCGTTTAACGCAACCTCACTAAATCATATTCCTTGATCAGTCCTTGATTTATAATCAGGAATATGGTTTCTTTGAACATGTATATATTTTTCTTTTGAATATGCCCTCTCTGCTATATATACTATACTGTTCAGATTTATTTTTGTAAAATTATGAGGTGAAATTATGAATCAAAGATCTCCTTTACTTCTTCTTCTAAACGGTCTTCATACTTGTTGTTGTGTGAAGAACACTTGACCAGCAAGCGTTCTTCATACTTGTATTCATTTTTTTCTTGTAAGAAGACTTTTTATATTCAAATGGGTCATCGTTCACACAGCCATAGAATAATTAGATTAATTAGAGAAAGTTAATTCAGAGATATTTTTGTTGTTTGCAGCATATAAAACGACCAAACAAAAGTAGGTGAGGTCTTTACCAAAAAAAAAAGTAGGTGAGGTCCGCAAAAACATTCTCCCATCTACACTAAACACACATCTACGAGACTACGACATGCATGCTTTGATCAGCATTAATACCAAGAAAACGGCTTTTATATCTATTAGAAGTGCGCGCTTGTTACGTTGATCCAGCGCCGTTAAGAGAAAGTGCAACAAAGCAAGGAACAAGTATACTAAGATTTTCGTCTGAGATCACATATCGCTGCTATCCTTTCCCATTCAAGTTCCTCACGCTTCCGCCTTAATTCTTGCCGCTTCTCCTGAATCTCCTCAAGTTGAGACACCCATGGTAATCTAGAACCTAAGCGATCCCCAAGAGGCAATCTCATACTTGCAGCTACAAGCCACGTGCCCAAACCAAGCTTCTTCTACGAATAAAACGTAAACAATGTACTGAGGCCAGGGAAAGTAACTTTTTCTCCGCCTCCATTCGATTTCCCTTGTAACTCCGCAAGGACATATCTCAATTTCGGCGACATGATCGCAAATTAGGGTTTGCTATTCTCTCTTCGTTTCTTATGAGCCAAGTGATGTTATTAAGTAGACCATATTGGCCCAAATTCGGATGGGCTAAATGCCTAATGGATCGGACTATTTTAGATCCAATCTAGTCCATTATTATTTAAGACGATTTTGCCCTTCATTCCAGGGCTTTAAAACCACCCTGACTGTTCATCTTTAACCCTATTCTTCAGGCTTAATCGCTAAACACAAAAAAAAAATAAAAAAAATCTCACGAATCTCTCTATCTCTCCCTAAGAGCGTATTTCGAACGGAGCTACGATTCCATGGCGAGCAATGGAGACAAGGTCACGGCTACGATTGAGAATGGCAAAGGGCTTTCTACTGGTGATAAGCCTACGAAAATTGTAGACCTCAACACTGTGGAGCCAGATCGTACTGATGAGTTTCTCGACGGAGAAGTTAAGGGTTTCTCTGATTCCGGTGATGTTTCTGCTGAGAAGAAGGACGAAGCTGACTCTAATGCTATTGGGTCGATTGCTGGGGATATCTCTCCGGTCGATGATATTCAGAAGAAGATTCGACGTGCTGAGAGGTTTGGGGTTTCTGTGAAGCTTACCGAAGAGGAGAAGCGCAATTCTCGTGCTGAGAGGTAAGAGTTTCAAACTGTATTCTCTTGATTCCACCGTATCTAGTGATTTGCCAAAACTAGGGTTTCGGAGCGATGTTCGTTTACTTGTTTGAGAATTTGCTATTCTTTCTTAAACATTAGTACGCGTATTCTCATACCTATGTCGGCGACATTGATACGGATTTCACCCTCGATGCAGGTTTGGAACTGTGGCAGCAGCAGCAGCAGTAGCGGTGAATGGCACTGAGGGAACGAAGAAAGCTGAGGAATTGAAGCGAAAGGCTAGAGCTGATAGGTATTTCACTATGCTTTCTTTGTGCTTGATAGTTTGTTAATTCTTGGTTTTTAAAGGAATATGAGTTTCATACTCACTTTCTATCTCGAACAGGTTTGGGGTTTCTGCTGCAACCCCTACTGTTGGTAACACTGAGGAAGAGGCAAAGAAGAAAGCTAGGCTAGAACGTTTTGGGAAAGAGACTAAAGTTGATTCGGCTGAAGAAGATAAACGCAAAGCTAGAGCATTGAGGTACTTTTCTATGCAGCCCAAATTCTGTTTATCACCGGAGTAGTGTGCTATTTGTTTTCAGTAATTGATTATGTTGTTTGTGAATTATCCGTCTTTAGGTTTTCAAAAGAGGCTTCGGATTCATCTTCAGATTTACCTGGAAAGCAAAATATTGGCAAGGTAAACGGCCTTTAACTTCTGTTATTTCTCCTATCTGTTAGCATGAGAGAATTAATAGTGAGGCTAATGGTATCTCCTGTTTAACTCTTTGTTTCATCAGGAGGCAGCTGTATCAGGCAACGCTGCCTAAGGTTCCTGAATAAAGTATCGTTTGTCTTTGTAGTTAGGTGGGTTTCTCGATATAATTCTTATTGCATTGCAAAATCTTGCTGGTACCTAGTTTCTTTCTCGTATCTGACTTCTCAATCTTTGGTTTTGGCAGGTAGTGTACTAGCGTTTTATGATTTCCCTCTCTGGCTGCTTCATTCTCTCTTTATTTCTGAATTAGAAGTCTCCGTGTGTGTATTTAAGAAGTTCAAAGTTTGGTCGTGGAGGAAGGTTTTGCGGTCTCTCGTTCGCTCAGATGGACGGAAGCCAAGCTGTCACCAAATGAGATCTTGAGAAACCAACAAGTAACCTATAGTTCTGATTGTCTTAAAATGGCAATTATTAATGTGTTAGGACCTAGGAATTCTGAAGTGGCTGGTATTGACCTTTTCCATGTTGCAGGTTCTTGAAGTGGTAAGTATAGCTTTGGTAACATTTTGATTTCATTTAAATATCTGTGGATGGTCCTTTTAATATTGCATATTCGTATCAAGCACAACAGCAGCAATAGATAATCTTTATCGCATGCAGCAAATAGTTAAGGAAAGAGTTTTTTTTTGGTGTGTTGAAGGCTATTTATAAATTGTAAGTGTTGATTACTGGAGTTGTGCCAATTCGTCTTCTTGAAACAATAAGTCTATTTTATCATAGTCAGTGGTTACTAAAGTTAGCTGGTTTACTGCTGTTGTGTGCTTGATTGCGAATAATGCATGCTAAATGGATCCCATAACCTTGAATCGTTTTTTGGTTGCTTATTTTCATGACATCTCAAGCTGCTACTTCAGAATTCCTTTGTCATTTAAGACATTATTAGAACTATAGAGGTACGTGTTGGTTTCCATTTCTCCGGTCTCTATGGCAGTGAAGAAAAGAGAGCCTCAGATTATGAATCTATGTTCGCTGGACTGGAACTTTGTTTGGCTTTCTGTTGCTACACAACCTCTTTTGTTTCTGTAATAGTTTAGATAAAACTTTGTTGATACTTGCTTTCTGATAATTTTGAATGAAGCGCCAGAAAACTTTTATAAAGGGGAATGTAATGTTTAGTTTTGATACTTATTTTTAATTTTCTTTGTATTCACACCTGTTATTTTGTGGTATAGACTCACAGTAGGCCAATATGCTGCAACGTAATTTCCGTTCGAATTTTTAGCATCATTGGCATTGATGATCTTATATATAAGGTACCCTCGTGTATAATTTGCATACAGGGGACATGAGAATTCATCATTTTCTTAATGAAAATATATCAGAGCTCTCATAAATTTGATAACGTTCTAGCTATACTACTTGTTCGTCTTTGACCCTGGCTCCAATTTATTTCCCTTGACATAGGAAGAGTTGTTGCTACAAGAATTGTTCATGACGATGAATGCATTGGGTACCCCCCTCTAATTGACAGAGGAGAAGCCCACGCATTGGTGTTGACTGGTTCGGGGTTGAGATAGATCACAATAACGGTTATATCGTCGTGGAAATGCCTTCTGACACCAGGATGGATCTCTTTTAGGTCTGTGTATCTCATCTCTCTTTTCTTTGCTGCTTCCTTTAAGGCAGCTTTGAGTAGTCTCCTTGCTATTCCCTGAGAACATGAAGGTATTAACAAATAATTCTTGTGTGCTCATTGTGCAACAGACATGTAACCCGTTAGCTATGGTCTAGGCATTGAACTTACTTGGCGCGGAGAATTATGTACGATATCAACAGCTTCCTGGTTGCTAAGATGCTCCCAAAGCCCATCTGAACCAAGAATCATAAACTCGTCTTTTGAGGTAAGCCGAGTGACGGTGACGGATGGATCCGCACTAAGGATTGGTTTAGTGAAATGTTCTGCTAGTCTGTATTTGGGCAGCAAAGGTTCTCTGTTGAACTCTGCTCTTTTGAGGTATGCGTCACCTATGGATCTTGTTACCTGGTCAAAGGTCATAACACAGTTGCTACTAAGTTTTACATCCTTAACAATATGTGGCTAAGATAGATGATTTCCTTAAGCTTGTGTATGTCATAGAAACTGAAGAGACATATCTATGTGCAGGTTTTCACATGTGTGAATGTTTACCTGGATGACGCCTTTCACACGCCACATCCGATGCTTCATCACAAGAATGTTGGGGTCATTAGGATGCATTGACCATAGCTCTTGCCTTGCAGACTCTAGATTGGCATTGTGCTCTACCGATAATTGAACAGCTCTCACTCCACCTCTCTCAGATCTGCCAAGCACAGCTCTGGAATCTCCCACGTTTGCAATATACACCAATCCATTGCATATCACTCCTGCCAAGCAACAAGACCCCACTGATGCCATCTGTGGGTTCGTGGGCCATTGCTTCTTCACTGTGTTGAGAAAATCTATGTCCGTCTCTGCAAAGGTTTTGCTGATTACCTGCTCTGAAATCTCCCTACCCTCAGAGGCAAATTCTGTTCATGTGAGACATGAGTGTTAGTATGCCTGACAATCTGACATATTCAAGAATGAATAAATAAAGAATGAGAATGGGGGTGTCTTACTTTTTAACTTGGGGAAGATGTTGTCTGCAATGAATCTGGAAGCCTCTGGACCTCCATGGCCATCATAGACTCCAACAAACGTGCCTTGAACTGTCGGATTGTTGAATGTCAGTGGCCCTGATTCGATCTGGCACTGATCCTCCATCACACTGTTGGCTTGGATCATTGCCATCGAAAACTCTCCAAAGGTGTGAAGGCCAAGATCTTTATACCATGTCAAGCCATCAATCTTTGTGGGATTGATCTTACTTCTCTCCATACTGGCACCTAATCTCCAACAGGGTTTAACCATCTTCCCAGGTATGTAATCTTCGAGCAATATCGTAGTATAAACAAAGAAAACTATACGGATAACAAGTAGTAACAGTGATGCTGGTTGTGAATTATGAGTTTCAAGTTTAAGGAAAGGACCACACATATATATATATATATATATAGCCGTGGAAGCCCTAGAGTAAGTGTGAAGGTGTTGGAAACAAGGGAAAGAGGCCAAAAAGGTATGGGTCAAAATAACTGAAAAAAATTAAATGATCCTGAGAGTTAAGACAAGAGGGCAGTAGTTTAAAGTGGATATTCAGAGATTCTCCTCTTTACTGTTCCATGATGAACCTCTGTCTTAGTAGGGTTAACTTAAAAGCTGTCATATTCTTTTCTACTTTCTGATATATTTATATCATGCCCGTAGTATTTTTGGTTTCTTTTAGAGGTTAATCTTTGTAAACTTAGAAAGCAAGAATGTCCACAGCCAGTTCATTTCACAACTAGACTAGAGGAAAACACTTGTACATATAGAATAGAATCAGGGTATGAATAAATTAATATGATTTTATGACTTGTAAGTATAGTAGTTTCCCATGTAAATGTCTGTTTCACATTGTTTGTTTGGTTGTTAGTGACTCTATACCTCATTATCTTGTAAATTGAATTGGTAAATTTGTGGGAAGAAAATGGATAGAAAAGGAAAGGTCATAGGATGCATGTGTGGGCGTGGGTTTTTGGAGCATTGAACTTGGAACCATTTAAAGATTTGAGAGCTGAGAAAGACTGAAGAGAGAGGAGAGAAGACATTTGTGGGGCGACTGAGGAACACTCTTAGCTGTCTTAACCCCTACAGGTTTTGCCCTTTTCTCAGTCTCTTGTCTTCTTTTTTACTTTATTTTTTTTTTTCCTTTCCTTTAAATGTTATCAAAAGCTGATCTCTTTACTTGTTTGTGAGATTCAGATCGAAATTTAATTCATGGAATATGGGGTTGAAATGAATTTTCCAAAGAGGATGGATCTTTTTGGTCCTTTTCCTAAGTTCCATTTTTGCATGACCCTCATTGGCCTTCCTCTGCCCCTCCTCGTTTTTCTCTGTTCATAAGGATCCACAGATTTGATGTTACGGTAGAGAGAACCACTGTCGTGTGTTGATAGACCAATTACACTAACGTGGTGTTACATTATCTAATACATACATATATATGTCGAAGTTAGATTTGAGTTTTCGTTTTTCGTCATCTATACCTTTGTGTTGTGCTTCGAAATTCAGAATTCAACAAGTGGGTTGCACAACTTCCACGTCCACTTGTTCTGTTTTTTCCTTCTACCATAAAATCTTTTGAGACAACAAAAGTTAGGCTTCCCTAATCCGATCTTTGAACAAAGTATATAAAAACACACAAGATGATTTACTTTGAAAGTTTCCCATTATGGTAGAACTATAACTAGAGATTTAACAGTAGAGATTTTAGGTTTAATCCGTGTTTAGTTCCACTTGCTAATCGATTTATGTCAAAGGGGGTTCATTCATTGCTTGCTGATATTTGATTTTACACATGACGGTTCCACTAGTTCGACAAGAGCAATAACATCAAATGGTGTCGGCTAGATCGTGTGACTTGACGCATAATTAGATTAAGTTTGTTGATGCCATAGATCTAAAGTCAAATCAAGAGAGTAGGAAAATCACGTGAAGATAGTCTAATACAAAATAGAAAATATGGTCCAGGTACATTTTCTCTTATAGCATAACAAATAACTTTCCAATTCATATATATGGACCGATTAAATATTGAAACCAATGGTTGTGAGAAACACATGTGGCCTTGGAACGTATTGAAAAGGGTCCTTGAATGCACCATCGCAGTACAGTGTATTTTCATGTGCTTTCAATCCCTGATTAATTTCTTATCTTTATTACGATTGAACAACTTCATCATCAGTCTCGGTTTTGATTAAACAAGTTAAGAAGAGAATATACTTAAAAAAAAATAGAAAATAAAACAAGTCTCAATATTAAAAAAGAAAACAAAAGAAGAGGAGTTGTGTGTGACAGCTGGGCCATTGATGCACTGTGTTTTGTCTTTTGGTTGAGGGAGCATGGATGTCAGTCTATCTCTTTAGCTTGCCTTACTACTTAGCTTTGTTTTCTATTGCATTGTTTCAGATGGTTAGCTTACCATTTGTTTTATTCAACATTCATTAAGACATTGTTATAAACGTACTTCTCTTGACTAACTTGTAAGTTTAGTATATCAAGTATCATATGTTTTGTTTACAGAGGTTTAATCTTGGATAGAATGTGCGATTAATTCGGTATTCTCCCACACTATAGAGGAACAACATGTATCAACTATATCGTAATGAACTAAATATCAATATCAACTAAATATCGTAATAACTACATCGATTATCACGATATCTATGGATATTGAATATAATTGCTTCTACTACAAAAATTCCATCGCATGCTTCAAATATAAGATCGTTATATGGAAAAAGAATGAAAAAATCACATTCGTACCCCGTTGGATGTATATAATTTGTATTTTTTTGTCTTTTTAATTTGGATAAATATCAAATAAATTAAGAATTATTTGGTTTTCGATTATAAAATCATCAATTAAAATAAGAAAATAGAATGCACTCGCATCGACACTGTCTCTGATTTTGAAAACCTTTCTGATGTTATCTTTATATAATTTGGAGTATAATAAACGAGCATTTAAGTACATCTCATCTTTCGAGAAACCTAGGTTACAAGTAAACTGAACCTACCTATACCTTTTAGGAAAAGAATCTTAAACGCTAATTATATGTGATTAATCGTACCAACATGTAATTTATATATAAGGAATAAAAAAACGATCCAAATCCAATTTTAGCCTGCGAACTAATTAACCTATACTTTTAAGTTTGATTGATAAGATCATATAAATAATTAGAAAATATGTATAAAAGTGGAGACGTGGGCACGTACGTAGAGAAGAAGAAGAGAGTAAATAGAATTGCATGGCATGCAGGAAACATGAGACAGACATCGTGAAGGTCCCATATTGTCTGGTCTAACCAAACCTTGACATATTATCACAACACTATCTATCTACTAACTAGTGTTCTTCGTATTGTCGTAGTACTACTTTGTTTATCATCTCATCACATTACGATATTAACTTAAATAAAAGTTTTATATATATACAATATTATATTTTTCCTTATTTTGTTATCTAGCTAGTTGCAATTGTATCTGGACGTACTATTATCACTTTGATTTTGTACTTTCTTGTTTATTAGATTCTCTCATATATCTTAGCTTGCAACTTACTATCCATCATTATCGTTTTTTGCATTTTTTCTATAATTAACGTAAAAATATAGCTCTTACGTACGTAAAATCTCTGCAGCATGTATTTACTATATATATGTGTGTATAATTAATTTACCTTATGATAATATTAAAGCTACATGAAATTTGTGGAATCGCGAACTCAGACCACGATAATATTGGAACTCTCTGTTTCTTCTAATTTAGATAATATCCGATCATTAAAAACATTTCTCTTTATTCAAAAGACCTTCTATTTTAAAATTGTCGTTTTAAAATCCACAATTTCAGTTTTATAACTATATCGATGGTTTTTGTGTTTTAAAATTATTTGTTACGTTTGTGTTGCATGTTGACAATAATTCACTTCAAATATTTTTTTTTAAAAAAAACTTTTTTCTTCATGACTTTTCACTATAGAGTAGTTGCACTTGCACATGACATTTTGATCAACTCTATTTAATTGACGGCTATATTAGTAGATATCTTCCTTATTTGATTATATCAAGTCGTATATAAAAGAAAAGATCAGCGTAGTTTTGAAAAACCGTTAGCAGTAGGCCCAGGAAATGAAAAGACAACAAAAGAGCCTGTATTAGTTGCGTAAGGCCCAAATTCAGAGAGCTCGAATATATATACACAGGCCCATTAGCCTTTTTATGAGTTGGAGCGAGTCTTGAAAGTAATACGATATGGTAACAAATTACGTACGACTATATTCGTTTTTTCCTTTCTTATTTTTATTTTACATCAATGGACTATAGAACATGGATATTTTTCTTCTTTAGCTTTGTACTATATTTGAAACTAATGCTGCTAATATTCTGTCAACAGAAAAAAAAAAATCCAATGATAAATCGCTAATACATGAAGCAAAAAAAAAAAAATCTTTTATATGTCAATTAAAATTCTATGACAATAAATACACGAAATTCGTCTTACTAAAAAATTTATTTAATAACTTAAACCTGAAAAAGAAAAACAAAAGCCCTGGGGAGTTTTATAACCACATGTGTCTCTCTATCAGGTCCAAAGTTTCTATATATATATAAACGGCCCAAACATTCCTATCTATAACAGCATTAGATAACGATGTACACACGCTTCTGTTACTTGTGCTTACACATGTTTATGTACGCATCACCGCGAGCTGAGATCACGCCACGTGTGAGTCGCTGCGCTTGACGAGGGTCTCCCACAACCGTTGGATCTCAGAGAAGACATCGTCGGTGGGGAGTTGAAACCTACAGAAAGGACACGTGTTCTTCTTGCTTAGCCATGGCAATATACACTTCCAGTGAAACAAATGCTGACATGGCATTTCGCAAACGTCTCTCCCTTCGCTCATCTCTTCCTTGCATATCACGCATTCTACTTCTCCGGCGTCGTCGTCGTCTTTGAATACCTCAACCGCTCGTAACGCTACCACTGCAGCTCTAGCCGCTGGAACTTCGTAGCCTTGTTTCTGATCTCCCCGGCGGATATGGTTGTGGCCTCCCATTATGTCGACGAATCTTTTGCATCTAACTAGGGTTTCTATGTACGGCATCAATATTCCGGCATCGCATGTCCAGAGACCTGAATTATTACTTAGCATGGTATTAGCGCACATGTTGCCGAGGATTTCCCGCCAATTATCGGCGGAAGCTTCTAGGGCGTCTGGATTTAGCTGGTGGGTTTCGCAGAGAAAGAGGAGGAGGACCACTGCGTCGAGGTCCCGGAGCTTCATGGTGGTGGCGGAGGAGGTGAGAGAGTTGTGTTTAAGGTGGATGAGAAGAGGGTGGAGGAGTGAGAGGAGGTGGTTGGCGATGAGGTGGGTTTTGTCTGGGAGAGATAGAGAGAGGAGGTGGCGGAGAGTGAGTGAGAAAAGGGTCGGAGAAGATAGGACGGAGGCGAGACGGCGGCGATGGTGGTGGGAGATAGAGAGAATGGAGTGAGTGAGATTTGTGAGGAGTGAAGAAGAGAGAGTAGAGAGTGACGCCATGACGATCGTGGTGTTATCTTCTTCCATATTGGATCTTGCGTGCTTCGTTTCGCACTTCTCTTTGACACTTTCACTTTTTTTTTTGATGAATCTTTTGCTTATATACATACATGTATGAAGTCATTAGGAGAGTTTGGTGAAAGTAATAATAAAAATATATTATGACTTTTTCTTATTAAGGAAAAAACAAATAGGGTGTGGTACAAAAGAGATTGTTGTCGGCTTTGCTTGTTTTGGTTTTCATTTAATCGATAGATGTAAATATGAGATTGGGAGAATAAAGGTGTAGAAGCAATGAATGGAGAAGAGTTGGCAAAAGCTTAACAACACTTTTGCTACTGTTGGTGACAGACATAATTAGCTTGCAAAAACTTTATACAATTAAAAAGTATTTCATTTCACTTCTAACTAATAAATATCTTGGAAATAGAAAATTTCGAAGAATTTGTTTGGAAGGTTATGTGTAGAAATTTATTAAACTTGTATATCTTTTGTTATGTTACTACTTATTACTTACTAGCTCCACAATCTAAACCAAACTAGTTACATTTATCAAAGTTGATCAAGAGTTTCGATCATGTGAAGTGAAGCTAGTTAATGGGACCAGACAAGAGTCTGTGGAGTATAGTAAGGATTCGGATAGGCTTGTTTATACAAATCTACTTGTCCATATCGAATTTGTCTACTTTCACAACACAAAATCACACGAAGCACAAACCCAAAAAAACCCATCATTCATACCAAATATTCAGATAAGATTATTTACCGAACTCATGTTGTTTGTTTAGGACAAAGAGATCTTTCTCTTATTGGTGTATATGACCAAACAAAAGCAACAAAACAAGAGGAAGATGATCACAAGTCGAAACTATACACGATATCAATAACAAAAAGATTGGCTAAATCCATCGCTTCTTCTAATTTTCAACTGTTGTCTTCAAGAAACAGTGTTGAAAAGATTAATAATTCACATGACCACACCATCCTATAACTCTAGTCTCTATGCATTTGTCCCGGTGTGTTGTCCACACTTTCACAAACTCTCATGTCTCACAAATCCCTAAACAAGATTTTGGTGGACATCAAAACTGAAAAGTCTTCAATGACTGTGCTCTTACCTCACTCCGAAGAAAACTTACCCACTAGAACAAAAATTAACTCGTCAATTTTGATTTATATATAGCTACTAGAGAGGTTTGGCCATTGAGTTTATTGAAATCTCACTAGTACCGATACCGATGCGAAGAACATCTTGATTATAAGCATATCAAAAGTACGTACAATCATAAAACCCACAAATTTAATAATGCATCAAATCTTCTACGCAACCAAAGGGACTCATGAAGAAAGATTGGTTACCGTGAGAAGTGAGAAGATATGATGGCAAGATGCTTCAATGACAAGTAAAGATGACCCATTAGAGAAAAGCGAGTAAACAATATTAAAATTCATTCTATTATTCTACTGTGCTCGATTTCTATTGCACTAGTGAAGAATGTGGTGTGCCCCCACCAAACCCTTATAGTACAAAGTCATTCACTTTTTAAAAGCAAGACGGATCACTTCATCACATGGGCATCCGAAGATAACAGCTTTAGTCAAAATACAGGAAAGAAAGAACGATCACATACTTCACAATTTAACATTTTGCTTATCTGAGACTTTCTGCTACTACTAAGCCACATGCATTTTTTTATTCATGAACTTCAAACTGAGCCAGGGAAGAGAGACAACAATAGTTTTTCTAGCATCAAGATGTCTGCAGATAGAAATTTTTGATAATCAAATCGACCTAGAACATCCCAACAGTAAAGGCACAAAAAATGCGCTTTGGATTTCTTACCATTGTATTACACCACCAGAATAGAATGAGGAACTAAGAAATTACTGCAGAACTTGCAATGTGATTCGTTGGTTGAGAAGGAAGTTCCTGTTCTTTGTAATGTATGCGTTCATTGCCTGTGTCTGTGACGTGAAACGCACCAACGCCACCCTCTTTGAAGTTCCCAGTCCTTGACTGCATGGTGAAAGAAGACATTAAAATAGTTTCATGTCCTTATTTTATCGGTAATCTAGAAATCACTGCAACAGGGTTATAGAGCACAAAGATCTGTAGATATCGTGTATCAAAGAAGATGACAAAATGTCACATGTCGTACTCAAGTAAACAAAAAATGATGACAGTCCAGAGTAGGTGTTATGTCACTCCTCTCATAATTCCCAGAGAAACTCATTTTACATTTGTACTATTAACATAAATATATATTGCTTTTACTAGTGTGTAATATGATTAACCGAAAAGTACATAAAAATCATTGTAACTGATTAAACAAACAGAAGAGCATTGGTTTGCAAGACTCCAGGTAGACTAACGGCTAATCAAAAGGGCTAGAGTTAAAGCCAAAGAACATAAGAAAGAGATTACTCACACTGTGAGGAACTGGATGGATCCAGGATAATAGAGACAGCCAGATAAGAACCTATCTATGTCATCTGTTATAGCATTCACCGGAAGCCCATGTAGTGCAACCTAAACAATATAAAATCTCATAAGACATTAATCAGTACCAATTACAATTCATCTCAGACCAGTCATCTGAGAAAGACCTCGATAAACCACCAGTTATGACAGAAAATATAGCTTACCACTTTCCCCTCATAAGGGACAATTGGATCCCACTGAGAACGAGCAGCCTAATTATAGACAAGGAATCAACTCAGGATTAAATAGTCGTCTATCATATGAGGACTTTCTTCATTTGTAAAATGGTAATAAACACGGACTCTATAATTTGTAGAAGGATTACCCTTTCTAATCTATATAGCTTTCCTTTCTTTGCGATATTCCGCAGTCCTCTATCATATGCGGAAAGGGAAGGAAACTGGACAAAACTGATATACCAACATTGTCGAGGATGAAGAAGAAATGAAAGTAGTTAGTTTGGAACCAAATTTCCCGCTTCCAAAATAAAACTTGCAACAATCCAGGGAGAATTAATAAGCGTAATACTTACACTGCGGCAGGAGTTAAGTTTCCACCACGCAGATAGTTGAATTTGAGATCATCTGGTGTCACATTGCAGCCTTCGAGTACGTTCATGATATCAGTCTTCAGAGCATGTTTTGAAAAGCCTGAAAATTTCCCATAAAACCTCCCTGGAAAGAACAAAAACACGATCAAGGAACATGCTTTACCAAAATAAAGAAGACAATCATGGTGCACACACTTCATAATGAGCTAAAGTCACAAAACCATAACAATCCAGAATCCTTCTACGCTCTATATTATATCAATTTAAACAAACCGTTCCCTTTTTTGGATTAAAAATTCGATAATAGCCTCTGTGGTCAAAATCAGAAACTATCACTTTCAACATCAGCTTCAGATATACTCACTCCAAGCAAATCAAAGTCTGCAATCTGTGATCTAAGGTCTTTATCCTCACAAATTGGAGAAATACACTCAAAGATAGAATAAATACATGGAAGGGGAAAAAATAAAAGAAAACCTTCTCCCGGAGAACCTCCCGGAGGCGGTGGTAACGGGGAGGAAGGAGGCTGCTCCGTTGCGGTAGATAGGCATTTCCTCCAATCCTGAAGAAATAGAAGAGAGCTACCGCTAATTACATGATTCGACTGCCGGAGACACAAACCCGATCTGATCGCGCTACGGATGATACTCATTTCTCACCGGAAAATGTTTTAGGGTTTTTCTCCACAGTGAGTGACGATGACGGATACAATTGAAGATTCGAAATTACATTACTTAAGCCAAAAACGACAGCGTTTCACATAGTTAAAATATATGAATATCAAAAGCCCACATAGTAATTGAAAAAGATCTAAGCCCATAAATTTGAACATTAACATAGTCCATATTACATTTAGGAGAAGATAAAAGAAAAAAACTTGACCATCATTATTATTAGGGCAGGAAAAACTTTTTCACTTTCAATTTAGAGTAAACAATAATATATCAATCAAATATTGTATAAATTTCAATGTTATTTAGGCATGTCAAAAGGACTTTCGCCTTCGTAATTCCCCGAAGGCGAATACTCGCAAACCACTAAGAATCCACGGTTGTTATCGCACTTCTCACGTGCGCATCCAACGGCTGTGGTTGTACGCCAAACGATCTGCGTATAATGACCGCACATCTCACCAAGCTTGCACGAATTAGTCGTCCGATCGTAGTTAAAACCCTCCTGCATCCATTTAGCAACGACTCTCTTTGGCGACCACTTCTCACTATTTTGGTGCCAGAATATGTTCTCTCCGTAAGGCCCACCTGAATGGGTCATTTTACAATCCGCTTTACGTTGTTTGGCCCAATCAGAAGCGAAACGGGCCAAGCCTTTATCCCATTTGAGACTCGAGACGCCTGAAGTTCCACGCGCTGCGTTATGTGCGAGTACGAACTGCGCCGATTGCGTCATCCTCTTTCTTCTGTAAGTCACACGTGAGGCTGCGGCTTTGTTGCCCGGCAAGAGAGTCCCGGCGGCGGATTGGATTAGAAGGAGGAGGAGGAGAAGAGAAGAGATGGAGAGACAAAAAAGCGGATGAGGTAACGAAGACGACGACATCTCTCTCTTCGTCGTAGTCGTCGTCTTCGTTTTTCTCGTACTCAAAAACAAAACAAAAACCTCTGTTTCTGTGGATTTATTTTTTACTTATGAACATTGATTATTCGGTTAGTTGATTTTCTGACAAGCTTTGACAGGTTGTGTCTCCTCCATCCTCTCTCATCTGTTCGTTTTCCAGTTTTTTTTTCTTTTGGTTGTATTTTCTTAATTTGTTGAAAAGTAAAACGGCCATTACATAATGTAAGCTGAGTTGACTTTGTTCGTTTTGACCAAAAAGAATGGTTTTATAATTCAGATTTTAACTAAATGAACCTGGAAAAATAATCTTTAGAATTCTTAAGAAACTATATATAATCAAATTATTTTACGGGATTTTCAGATGTTTCAATGTGTAAATATATAACTTAGGTGTATTAGACCATCATTAACAAGGGGTTTTTAAATAAATCTTAAGGTAAAAAAAGCTAAGAAAAGTTAAGAAAACTTAGTTTATGTCTCTTGTATAAGAGATGTTTAGTCACTTTTTGATACGAACGTTACAAATATGGTGTGGGGTGAATTGGGGAATTTAAGAGGGAAGGTGTGAGACGCACGTGGATCTCTATTGTTCCACCTCTTTTTTCTCTCGTTCTTTCTTCGTCTTCCTCTCTTTCATCATTTCTTTGACAAGAAAAAAAAAAGAGAGAGAACCAAACGGAAGAAAGTTTTTTAAAAAAGAATCCAATTAGAATTAAATAAGAAATGACGATTCGGAATCCGTTGATCTGGAGAAATCTTATTTTCTGGTACATCTTCATCCTCATGTGGATTCCAGGTGAAATTCCTTATGTTTTTTTTTTACTTTCCATAGATGATCGATCGATTGTGTAGATTTGCATGAGGAAATGAAAAAGCCCAAGAAAAAAAATAAAACATGAAAAAAGGGGTTCTCGTCTTTGCAATATAAATTTAATCGGGAATTTTCTGTATATATAAAAAAAATAAAAACGTCGACAGCAGGATTCGAACCTGCGCGGGCAAAGCCCAATTGATTTCGAGTCAATCTCCTTAACCACTCGGACATATCGACTTATTGTTCATCTATGTAAAGTCAAGTATATTTATAGTTTCTTTTCACATTTCAGGACTTTTTGTTAGATCGCAATTTATCACACTCAACACCATTGAGATATTCACAAAGCACGACTGGTTCAAGCTCAAACACACGGTCTACTTTCAGTGCAAAGGAGAGAACAAAACTGTTCTTCCAGATGTTACCAAAACCGGTGTCTTGTACACTTTCCGCGGTCAAGAATCATGGCAGGTTCGTTCATAATCTCTTTTACAACCATCTTTCAATTAGACAAGATTCAAGATTGTGAAACTTACATGTTTCTTCAATGTTTATTATTACAGCCTATGACTGAAATTGGTGGCGAAAAATGTAAGCGATGCGGAATCTATGAGCAAGGCAGCCTTGTCTCAGACAAAGAGTTCGATGAATGGGAAGTTTGTCCCTCTGATTTCTCTGCTAGCCAAATCTATATGCATTTTAAGGAAAAGGAGATTAATGCTACTTTTGTCTGCCACGGTTGCACCAAGCTCGACTCCAGTGAGTGAAAACTAATTTCCACGTTTATGTTTCCTGTCAAAAGAAACGAAAAGATATGATGATCACAAGTAACATATATGAATTGAATGCAATGATATGCAGTATCTTCTAAAGCAACGACGGGTTCTAGTCCCCAAGAGGAAGGAAACAACGGGATAACAGTCATGATAGCGATTGTAGCAGGCATATTGTGTGCGACTCTGGTTGTGGTTGGAGGCGTTTTTACGTTCAAGCACTCGCAAAGGATGAAGAAGCAGCGAGATCAAGCTAGGTTTATGCAGCTATTTGAGGAAAGTGATGAACCTGAAGATGAACTTGGACTTGAACCTGTGATATGATATATAGTATTGAGCAGGTTCGTCCACAATTTATCTGAACAACAGAGACTTTTCGGTGTTTCATGAGTTTTGCAGCTTATATTAGGGAAGAGGGTTGACAGTAGGAAATCTTAGCTTTTGGCCATCTGGTTTTTGGTATTTGCTTCTTTTCCCCCACATTTTAGAAATCAGACAAAATAATCACAAAAAGTTTCAACAGAGAAAGCTATTGTACATATTCTAATCCACAAATGCATAGGGAACTTTAAGGTATGTGTTACCAATAAAAGAACTGAATCAGTACCTGCCTTTGAATTCATATGACGATTAACTCGAGCTCGGACTACTTCTGATGGCACGATTGAAGTTATCCAATTCTTTGGAATCAGGGCCATGAATCGTCTTAATGGTATCAATGCAGCAGCTGCAACGTAAAAAAAAAGACAATAAACAGTGTTTTTTATGTCTTCCAAGTTGTAGGATCATTTTAGTTGTGTTAGCAGGTTGATATTAGCTGAATCCCCTAAACAAGATATATATATATACACACATTTGATATAGGTGAACAAGAATAATGCAACCAAGGAGAATCACAGATGTTACCTGACAGCTTCCTTGTTGAATTTCTTTTCTTCAATCCCATAGAGTGACTTGAAAACCTCAGGCTCAACCCGACAAAAGTAAGGACGATCTGAACTCAGGAAAGTTAGAAAACGTTCAAAACATAACAGATGAATTAGAGAGAGACCAATCTGATAAGCTAATAAAGTAATGATACCAGCATAAATGGAGCATTTGCGTGTAGCTTTGTTGTAGTTTATGCACCATCCATCATCTCCGATCATGCTTCGATACAGCTGGATTAAACATAAGATATTTAGCGTCGAAAATATGATACATTAACAATTTAACACTGACAGAGGAATTTCGTCGAACAAGTGATGGGTGGAAAACACATTAGACCTCAACATCATCAGGGTCATCGAATATTTCATCAGGGGTGGCAAAAGCGAAGTCCTTGGCAAGCTTACAGCAAGCTCCACAACCTTCGACGCACTGCCAAGTCAATTCCTTCGTTCTGCCGGAGAAACCACTCGTCGACGTCGTCATTGGCCGCTTATTCTCTGGCTTGGCTTTCTTAGCTTTAGGCTGTGAAACTTGTGACCGCCTTGTGGCAGAGACTATCGTCGTGCTAATTGGTGCCGTCGCAAACGCAAGAGAAGTAAACATTTTTATAATTTGGCGCAAATTTAGAAACAAGATATGTTCTTCAGATAAAAGAACACAAATTGCAAACGACTGCAAGAGAAGTAAACATTTTTCTATCCGGTTCAGCTAGCCGCAAATTGTGAAGATGCATCCGGTTCAGACGCAAACCTTCTTTTATCCGGTTCAGTCACAAATTGCGAAGATGCATCCGGTACGAACAGTCGAACACCTGGGATATGAAATAAGAGCCATGTTATATTTTACATGCAACAACAGCTTCATCTGAATTTTACAGTTAACTCAATATTGGTCGATTTTGTATGGTCATAAATACTGTATATCTTATTTTTTCTTACAAATTAAGCACGGATGAATCGTGGTGGATCATTCCACTTCCTAAATTGTAGTATTTTACTATACGAGGATACTCTCTTTGTCCTAAAAACAATTGATTTGTAATTTCAACTATTTTAAAGGCTCAAGGCCCATTCCTATGAGCCCATACCAACATTTGTCAACGGTCCAAGAAAGTGAAAGTAAAATAAGGGGGTGTTATTGGTTTGTGAGTTATATGGAGTTTTAATGACTTTAGATGTTAGGTAGAATCTGTTGTTATTCAATCAAGATTTTATAAAACTCTTTTAAAGTTTGGTGTTATTAGTTATTGATTTGTAAAGAGTCATTCAAAATCTTCATAAATATAGGGTTATTGGATACAGAGTTTTACAAAGTCATTAAAAGTTCTGTGTTATTCAATTAAAACAAAAGAATCTATGATTGTTAATGAATTGAAATTTTATGTTATTGGTTTATGATTTTAAACACTCTTCTTTACAAAATAAAGTCATGAAAAGTATCTTATAAATACAGAGATTGTTTGAGAGACTTTACAAGACTTTAAAAAAACTAATAACAATATTATATAAAACTCTCAAACAATCCCTTAAAATCATCCAATCTATGATTTTAGCAGAGTCATCTAAATTCTTTATAAGTTAGAATCCAATAACACCCCCTAATCAAGTATGAGGAGGTTATTTAGCAAATGGATTCTCGAATTTTTAATGAGAAAAATCTTTGCATCAATTAGAACAACCTACAAAAAAAAATAGACACGTTTTAGTAGGAAGGTTAGCAATTTTATGCTAATCATGTTGTTGATAAAAAAAACTAGATAAGAAGTGTTATAATTTTCTATGCATCATTGCTTAAAACTACAATTTTTATCTAATATTTGCGGAATTCCACATCGTAGATGGTGTTAATCGCTAATATTCAATATAAACCAAAAAGAATTGAATATAGATGGATTCGTTGAAAGCCCATGATTTTGCATCATTTGAACAAAATTTGCATTACAAAGTATATTGTCTATTTTCTTCTACAAATAAAAAATATTACATGCCAATCATATTTTGATGGAATGAACACTTATTAGACGTTGGCATTGTAACCACGTTCAGAATTATCTACCAAAAATGTTTTCAGTGGGGCTGGATTGATATAGGAATGTAGTTAAATATACTATTTTGGTGAGATGGCTATGAAGATTGGTCTTCGACTCTTTAATGTACAATATCCTTGAATTACATCTGAAAATGTAGGATTAACATCAACTATCGTTGTTAGTAGTTTAGTTATAAAATTTTCACTTTAATCACACCAAATCATAACAACCATTTTCATTAATTAGAAATATTGCTTAAACAACAATTGTGTATTGATATTGATATTGTTCACTAAATATAATCATTTTTGGATGGAATTTTTTATTTTACAAATATTGCTTTGATTATAAAATCAAATTAAAATGTAGTCATTGCCAGCTCCACCAGACCACCACCAATTCTATCATATATTTGCCATTTTCGTTCTCTCTCTTCTATGTAAAAAAAAAATAATTAATAACATCTCCCTTCCTTAATCATCCTCTCTCTCAACATTTCTCCTTTAATTTCCCACTTATCTTTTCTTCAAATCTAAGCTTCACTTATTCATCCACGTTTATTAAACCCTTTTTATTATTATTTTTTTTAAAAACCCAAAAATCCAATATCTCTACTATATAGTACACATACGCAATACTGAAGAACCGAGGGGAGAAAATAAATATCAAAAATAAACCTTTAGAATGAACTCTGTGTGTATCTCCAGCTGCATCAACGATGCACATGACCCGCGCGTGCCGATTCGTCCCGTGCGTGCCTCCTACGTGAATCTATATAAGTGGCCCGAGTCCGACGCCGAGTTCGTTCGCTCCGTACGTCGTGGAGGTGGCGTACCGGAGGCGCGTGTAGTGGATAGCATATCTTGCCGGCAGATGTATCTCCGGAGCTACACTTTCTCTAGGGAAGACGATGATGAGAGCAAATCGGAGAAGGTGACGTCGGCGTCGACGCAGACGTCGTGTCTAGGGAGGGTTAAGGACACGGCGTCGTTTCGACGTAAGAGTAAAAAGGAAAGTGACATCAACGTCGAGAGTACAAAGCGGCGTCGTGGTGAGAAGAGGAGAGTTAGAAGGAAGAAGCGACAAGAACAAGCTTGCTCTGTTTTGTTCAGGTTTTTTCGAAGGTTATTGTCTTGTTCTGCCACCGTAGATGTTGTTGATCCAAACTAAGTTGTTATAAGTTAATTACTCTTTTATTTTTTTGTATCAAACTTATTATTAAGATTTGAGTTTTTTTTTCTTCTTTGTTTTAAGAGTTATCTGTTGAACCCTTCCTTTTTAGTTGATTTTGTTTGTATTTAAACTTGTAATATACAGAATTTTCATGGTTTTCTATGGTGTTATTTGTAGTTTATTAGATGATTGTGCATGAGTATTTTTTTTGTTTTTCCTCTCTCTTTAATAGTTCAGGATTTTAGAAAATACAAAAAGTCTCCGGTAGTTTAAGTTAAATGTTAAAATATTATATCTTGGTTACTACATGTTTACAATTTTTTGGATAGTAAATCACGGAAGCTAATTAACATGTGACATCGTACGTGGTTGCTTACTTGCATCATATTGATATGATTTTTCCAAATGTTATCAGTTTAGTAAACAAAAACAACTATAAAATTTTGTCTCTGATGAGTGATTACACACAAATAAAAACAACAAAATTGGTAAATTGAAACTATTAGGCGGGGTATTTCAAGCATCGGATGCTCATGGATTTACTAAAGTTGTTCAACACTTGTAAAGGAAGAGAATCGTAGCCAGAGCCAGATCTTGTTTTAAAACTTTTTCTTTTTAATGTTTAAAGGAATTACTAGAGTGATGATCATATACATACGAGTGACAAGAATATATGCATATTAATAATATATTTTCAAATCTTGACATAAAAATAGATATAAGGGCAACATTATAGGGGGTATCTTAGGAGCTAAGATACCCCCACATTTTCAAAGAAAAATTTTATGCAAGATCTTATGCAAGATCTTTTCTTTGAAAATGTGGGGGTATCTTAACTCCCTATAATGTTGGTCTAAACTCATCATAAAGCCATTTGTATCAGTTTTGGTGTTTCTAATATCGAATACTATTACGAACATAAGAGAATGGCATCTTTATTTTAAAAAGTCTTGTAATGTCTCTGAAGATTATAAGGTAAAAGATATTTCATTCAATAAAAAAAATTGTTTCCCACCAATATATAGCACTACTACAGTAGTTGGCAATTTGGCATCGACATGTGTAGAATTGGAGGAGTCAATAAATCAACGCCAAACCGCATTACAGAATTTAGCTTACACAATCTATAAACTATATTAATGATATAAAATAATGATCGCATGTTAATGATCACACTTATACGAAGGCCGCCGCATGATAAATAGTTTAGTGGAACGAACATAAAAAAAACTACGGAGTTATCACAAAATTTCAGATCACGCCTGTTATCATTAGTGGGGACTTAATTAGTGAACCACACATAATCACGACCACAAAAGATGATAATACAATATAGTTCACCTTTTTCTTGTGTCACGATACTTAATTTCTCTACAATATTTATACGTGTAGACTAATCAAAACACAATCTTGGAACAATAAAACACTAAAAAACAATAAATACTATAAATTGGCATACACGAAACAAGGCATGCTTTAATCTTGACGCTTAAGCTCCAAGACTCATCGAGATCAATATGTCGGGCCTTATTATTATTATTCAACCCTTTCTTCATTATTAATTTACGATTTGATTACAAAACGTAATCATTATAATCATTTCACTTCCACGTACTCTAAGATCCTAGACCACATTTTGAAGACTAATTAATTAGGTTTACAACAAGTGATAATATATATCCTGAACTATGATGTGTTTGCCTGTCCATGACCATAAATAATACAAAAAAGTTAAAATGTCAATCCAAAGTTTTGGCCAGCACAAAATCTTTACGAGTATGTATATTCAACAGAAAATTACGAATTTACAAAGATTAAGTTCCACATGTCACATGATATACTGGCTTTCTTTACTAACAAAAAGGGTCTAATTAGGCCTTAAGCTACCGTATACGAGAGCAAGGTACACTCCTCCTTATCACAGGTTTAAAACTTAAAACACACACATAGCAAGAAGCAGATTGTTTCATCAGAGCCCAAACTCTTGTTTCTTGAGGGAAAGCTCGGCAGTTTCTTCTTCTTCTTCTTCACCATCACTATCAAGATAGTCCACATTCATCTCCATTGGCCTAGTAAACATATAGAACATCAAACTACAAAACGCAAGACTTGCAATTTCCTCAGCTGCATTGCTCACCCACTGATACTTATAATCCACTTTAATCTTCAAAGCAAAGACGACGATCCTCGTGAAGAAAAAATACACAATTACCAAAACGTAGAATCTCCTAAAAAGTGGTAACTTGGCTAAGTTCTTAACCGCTTTCCCATCGGGTTTCTTTGATGTCTCTCTTCGGGTACTACACATCGACCTAACCATAACGATTACAATCGTGGAACAGCAAGATGTATCAGCGAGCAAGAAGAACTGGTTCCAAATCACCCAATTCTCGATGAAAGGTCCAGTCTCTCCAATCACAATCGAAGCAATGCTGGCTAAAACCTGAAGCGGAACAACGATCATCAACAGCTTCTTCTCTTTTCCTTGTAGCTTCCGTTGCAAGAAAGACCAACCGTTTCCGATTAGAACAATCACCGTGAAGAGCAGAACGACGTTGACGAATTGGAAAATGTAGAAAACAATGTTCCAGCCATGAGCAGTGCCTGTGACTTTCACGTAGTGTTGATACACAGCGGCACTTATCAGAGTCAGAGATTTCACTAAAAGCAGAGCAGCCATAAAAAGGTGGATCCTTTGCGTGCTGTTGTAGCCGAAACAGAGCCAGAGACCCAAGAAAGTCAAGTAGCAAAGGGAGAAGAAGAGATACAAACCGGGTAACTGAGTTGAACCGGGCGGTAAGTAAACCTTTGACCCGTCCGAATCTTGATTGTACATCTCCGTTCGGATCTTCATCGAAACTGTACTTTCCGGTACGCAATTCACGAAGAAGAGAGAGTACTCGCTCGGGAACGTTATCGAATAGGAATGATCGAACTGAGACCGGTTACGGAAGGCGAAGAGATGGATGATGTAGTTGGAATCAAGGATGCAGAATCTAGGGTTTCTCTGGATCTCGAAGAGTATCTTAAGAAGCGATTCTTCCGATATAAGTAAGAACCCTAGTTTCGACGACTCTGTACTCGGAGAAGAAGATACTGATACAGAGCTAATCGAGACGGTTACATGACCGGTCTGAGTAAACCCGAACTTCTCGAAGAGAATTACCGGCCGAGAGTCATCGGAGATAACGAGAGACTTTATCTCCGCTACCGTCAGAGTAGCAGCGGTGAGTAGGAAGAAGACGACGACAGCGGCGGCGAAAGAGGGTAATCTGGTCATTTCGGCTTCTCTCTCTTTAGTCGTTACTAAACAATTCGTGGACGTCGTCGTTGTATGCTATACACAATCTTCGGTTTAGTTGACGTTGATTTGTTGACAAAAAAAAAAAAGTTGACGTTGATTCTAAAAGTCAAAGTCTTCGGTTTAGTCTTCGGTAATGTATTCATAGATAACATTAAAAGTTTTTTTTTTGTTAGATGATAAATTCTTATTGGTTAAGAAAAAATAGAGTGTATAAAAGGTTTCAACTAAAGTCCTAAAATATAACTTTCAAAGGGTGATCGCCTCTGTAAAAACCTAGCAAGCCGCTCTTAAGAACTTCCCCATGGACGAATCCATCGAGAAAGTAATATTTGTCTTTTCCTTATGGCCCTTTTTTTTTGTTTTTCATTATTAAGGATCACTCTTTAACACCTCTGTTTATCAATTAATGATATCTTCACAAGTATGTAAGAAAAAGTTTTTTTTGTTTTGTTTTATAAGTTAGTAGAATTTCTGATTAGATCGTTTGTGTCTACCCTAGGGTCTGAAATTGCTGGAATTGAACGACACTGATGCAGCCATTCGAAAAATCCGGTATAGGTTGCTTGATACATATTTTTAATATGTAATGTGTAAGATATATGTGTTCTTTGTCGTCACGGTGATCGAATGATATTGCAGTGACATTGGGAGAATTATCGTAAGAGGATATGACATAAGGCTTCGTCGTGATGTTGTCGAGAAGGCTTTGAGAAAACATTTCGCTTCATGTGGAGAGATCACTGATGTTTATATCCCAAAAGACTATAGAAATCATACACTCTGGAGGTTTTTGTTTTGTGGTTTGTTGTTAATTCCTTCAATTTTCCCAGCTCAGCTCATTTTTGTCTTTGTCATTGTCTCTCACAGAAGTGGTTATATATATTTTCTGGGAGAAGGAGCAGTAGAAAAGGCCTTGCAACTCAAGGGAAGTGACGTGGGAGGATGGAATGTCTCTGTTACTGCGTATCCTTTTATGCCACATGCAAACGAGTAAGCTCAACTGTTTTACAACTTGTATAAATCTTTTTTTTTTTTTTTTTGTATTTTTGTATCATCAGTCTCTTCTTATTAATACAAGTATTATTGCAGTTCCGCTTCTTTAAGAGTTGAAGGATATGACCCTTCCCTTAGTCCTGATGAAACCAAGAGCGCTTTGATTAAACTTTTCTCTTCATATGGAAAGATCAAGCATGTCTTCATTAACGAGCGGTTTGTTTGTTTCTTCCTCACTCACTGTTTGCTGTCAACCATTTTCTCATATTATTATTAATATGCTAAATAGAGATTTGACTTTTTCAGCTCAGCTTTAGTGGCTCTTTATGGAGAAGACGCCGCAGTGAAGGCGCCTGAACTTAATGGGAGCGACATGGGGGGACGCAAACTAGTTGTTCGCCTTGTTAATGGACTGGGAAAATCCACTGTCCATAGACGCCGCCTCCGTGGCGGCAACATTTCTGGCCGCCCAGCCCTAGGTACATCAATTTGATTCTTGATTCTTGATTCTTGATTCTTGACTCTTGTTAACAAAGTAAAGAAACATTTTTGGTTTATTTTAGATAAGAAGGCTAAGACGTCTGCTGAGTAGAAAGCTCTCTATCTCTCTCTCTCTCGACAAAGCTCTCTTTTGTGTTTTCTGTCTGGATATGATACAATGCAACCTTTCTCTCTAGAAGTATCATGTAAACGCTTATACAAATGAAATATATACTATTTTCCAACTTACTTACATATATAACAGAGATCTCTTTTATTTCCTGGATACAAAAATCTCTCTGTTCTTCAATGATTTCTAAATGCTCTGTTTCACTTTTCAATTATACTGCATAAAGTCTCCGGTTATGTTTGGAATCAGCTAGCTCAGGATCTGACATCATTGACGATGGAGACGATTTTGAGCCTTCAATACGGTTAGCAATCACCCAATAACACATAGTTCCAAGTGTTGAGACCATGATCAAAGCTCCAATGGCGGTTACACCAATCGCTAAAGGCTTCTCTTTCTTTCCAACAACAACAAAAGACAGAGATACGAACGCTACTGATATCATAATGCAAGCCATCCACATGAGTTTGTTTATTATCGCCATCATTTGCTTCTTTGCTTTCCTCTCTATAACCACCACTGATGTCTGAACCACAACCACTGCTAAAGAGATGAAAAGCGCGAAAGAATCAAACACCACGAATATCAAGAACTCGGTTCTCGGGGCTGCTCTCGCTTCTCCGAGTGAATATCCTGGAGGAACGTTGTTCGGGTCATCCGTGAACTGGCCTGGAACGTTAAAGATGGCTGCAAATGCTACGGTTGCTATGAGGATGGCAACTAAGGTAGTGGAGTTTATCGCGTTGTTGAGTCCTTCCGTGTGCATTTTGTTGACCCGTTTAGCGATTCCTTGGATCTCTCTTCTCGTTCTCCCGGTTTGTTCAAGCTGAGTATGCACCTCATGGCCTATTTCACTAACTGTTTCTTTCAGTTTCCTAGAAGAGCCTGATGGTTCCACTTTTTCAGCTGGCTTGATGGATCTTGCATTCTGCATACCGATCTTTTGCAGAAGCGGTACAATATCCTGCAGCCCGGTTTTCTCAGCGATATCAAGAGCCGTTTCTCCTGATTTATTAACCGCCACTCTACTGACTTCACAATATTTTAAAGCGGTCTGAACAATCTGCAAAGAAACACAACAAAGATTCTAACTTTTGAACCAACAACTTAAAAGATTGTAATCTGCAACGAAAACAACAAAGAATCTTAACTTTTGAAACAACAATAACTAAAAAGATTGTAATCTCAAGTCAATCAATCAATTACCTCTACTCTGTTTTTACGGACGCCTATATGCAAAGGAGTGTTTCCTTTGTTATCCGCGGCATTGATCAACGAAGGATCTGCTTTCATCAACGCATCGACGATCTCACTGTTTTGTCCTTTAACCGCCATATGAAGCGCGGTTTGACCTTTCTTGTCGACTCTTGTAACCATTCCAGCCTTCTTTTCAATCAGCTCATTCACAATCACTGTGTGCCCGTTCCTAGCGGCAGAGTGCAGAGCGGTTTTACCGTTGCTCCTCGCGATAGCAGCTAAGTCCACACCTTTATCCAACAGGAAACAAACAATCTCTCTGTGGCCTTGGGAAGCAGCCGTGTGAAGCGCCGTCGTCTTGGATGAATCAAATGTAAATGAGAGTTCAGGGTTCGCCTCTATTAACACATGAAGAATCTCTACAACAAAAGCAAAATACAAATCCATTATAAACATGTTCCGGTTTTGCTAGTCCATGATCTAAACATGTTCCTCTTTTTTGTCAATAAGCACCCAAATAGCAATTTGCACATAATTAGAGTATGAAGTAGATTTCATCTTTCACCATATATATGTCTATTAGTGTGCTTATTGACTAAGATAGCAAAAATTCACATGAATCTTTTTCAAATTGCACATAATTAGAATGTTCTTCACCAAAAATATATGCAAAATTGCTAATTCTTGAGCTCAAAGATTTATTGAGAAAATCAAGTCAACTCACGTAGGTTTCCGTTCTTGGCGGCGATGTGAAAGGCGTCGAAGCCGTTCTTGGCTTTGGTTCCGGCTAAGACAGAGTCGGAGTGTTTCATCAGAATCTTAACCATGTCGGTGTGGCCGTACTCCGCCGCAACGTATAAAGCCGTCTCACCGGACTGGTTTTGCTCAGCCAACAGCTCTTTCAGCTCGACGCCGTCGTGTTCGCCGATCAACTCCAAAAGAAGCTCCGTGTTGCCTTCTCTAACCGCCGTGTGTAACGGCGTGTCGTCACGTCTCGCCGTCATCTGCTTCGTCATCGTCTTCTTGTTCTCTTTCATGATGATGATTCTGTTGCAAGGAATATTTGGAATTCAGATCGAGTTAGGGAAGTCTAGCTACATGAGAGGAAGAAGATGAATGAATTCGACAAGAGTAACATGAATTCTCTGGACATAGAAACAAGGAAATATTATTACCTCTCCTCCTCGTGGTTTTGGCTTCTTGTGTTGTTTTATCAAATATCTTACATATCATATCCTAATTACAATAATACATATAATCAAACCTTAGTGTCCACTCGAAGCATTATGTTGTGTTGTTTTCTATTTCAAAACAAATTAAACTAGCATATTTAAGTCAACAAAAACTTTCAGGAGTAAAATTAAACCAGAAAAGAAACTAAACAATGCTAATAATATCTGGAGAGAAAAAAAATGATAACTAACCTTTTTACATTACTAAACAATAATGCTAGTGGTTTGTTTGATAATTTAGTCAAAAGCTTATCCATACTACTTTTTCTTTGTTACTAGTATCAAAGCATGTTATGAAAACAAACAGCATCAACTTTAAAATTATAAATACTTGATTGAAAAAATAAACAATTGAAATGAGAAAAATGTTCTTCGTGCAGTCACTTAAATGCATAAGTTATTGGCGATGGACAATGACATATGAAGAAGATAACATAAAAATGAGCCTCCATTATTGTTAGTATCTGTGTGAAACTGTGAATGTGGACATTTATGATAATACCAAACATTGTAAAAAATAAATTTTTAATCCGCTAGTGGGAAATCCAACCATTGAAAATTAACTGCTCCAAAGTGAAAAAATAGATTTCACTAACTCCAAAATATAAGAAAATAATCTAATATATTTTGAGAGTCTCTGTTACATCTTGACCGCATAGCGCAGTGGATTAGCGCGTTTGACTTCGGATCAAAAGGTCGTGGGTTCGACTCCCACTGTGGTCGTGTTCTTTTAGTTTTTTTTTGTTTTTTTTTCATTTTTTTCCCATCAACCAATGATCTTGTCTAGTATTGTCTACGTCCAGATGCTACACCCTTTGTAAGTTGTAACTGTGTTCTTAAACTTCATATCTTACAAACAAAAATGTTATTCAACCCACCTGAATTCACAGAGCTTCGTTTATCTAGTTTGATTATACTACTCAGGTGCATTTTTCGGTCTAGACCTTGTTCATTTGGTGTGTGTGTTCTACTAACAATCCTTAATATTACCGATGAACCAAGTTATTAACCAAACTTGACTTGATCCAATCAATATTCATTTATAAAAAAGATTGATATGAAACTTAAACAAGAGAAACCACAAAACCAGACTTTGGCTCAATATTATATGAAATGATGGTTTGAGAGAGCCTGTTTGATAACAAAGACTTGAGTAAAACTAAAAACAAAAGGTGGGACAAAAAGGGGAGGACACATAAGCCGATAATCAAAAGCTGAATCATCATATCTAGTAGCGACTAAGCTGGATAAATGAAACTACACTTTGATAGCATACTTCCTCACTGGGAAATACATCTCTTTCTTCTTCTCACGCTCTGTCTTCAAAGAAGCCTGTATCCCAAACAACCCAAAAAGAAAGAGATGTCATCATCTTTATCCAATTGAAATAGTTAACTTTATAAACTCATATATACATTGATTTATACATCACTAAAGAAGCTACCAACTGCTGAAAACCGATAAAGGTTCAAAGTTACATGAAAAGAAGCAAGTAATGACTAGTGAGGGTAAATACCTGATGCTTAGTGAGGCGTCTACGGATAGCACGAGTCTTCTTGGGACGGAGATCAAGAGGCAAAAGCTTCTTGTTCTTGTATGCCTCTCTTAAAGCAGATTTCTGCTTCTGGGAGATCACTGTCAACACTTGCGCTATGGATTTCCTCACAACCTTGCTGGATTATCAAAACAGATACACGTTTAATCAATGACTTGTCATATCAAAACCCACAATATCTAAAAACGTGATTATGCACACACATTACGAGTCCCATATATGATATGAATTTAAATTACAATTTGGAGTCATAAGACAAATGCATAACCATACTAGAGCACATTCTATATAAACATGTGAAGAAATATGAATGATGCTACAAATGCAAACCCAAAACAGAGCACTGTGTGATTCCGTACTCCAACTTCCTAAATTTAACTTACAAAAACACTAAATTACTCTAAACCGAAATGAAAAGTTTTCTAATCAGCAAGTAAGATCAAAAACCAAACACACAATTCTAACAAATGTGGATATCTATACACACATTTCATCGTATAATTTAGAAATCAAAAGACGTACATTTTGGAGAGCTTGTTAGGGGCACCGCCGGTGACTTTAGCGACACGGAGGAGAGCGAGCTCAGCCTTGAATTCCTTCAGCTGGTTCTGAAGATCAGTCTTTGATTTGTCTCTAAGCTCGTGTACCTTAATCCTTGCTAAACACAAAAAAAAAAACAAAAAAAAAACAAAAAAAAAGACAATCAGAATTACGTAATTGACATGTCAAAAAGTTCAAAGGATCTGTCCATCAACGTACCCATCGTGAGATTGCCGGTGCTGAACTGCTGTGCCGCTACTTCTTCAAACCCTAATTTGATGAAGAAGATAATTTATACGATTACCTTTGTGAAATCATTGACCTGAAAACCCTCAAGACTCTTTTGACGGATATAGTGGGCCGATTAAAGCCCAATATTTATATCGTTAATGGGCTTCGTTGAAGAACACATAATGGGTCGAAAAGAGAAAAAAGTTGGAATAGTGGTGAAAGCAAAGAGGAATAAATTCGTCAATCAGTAAAAAAAACACCAGAAGCATCAGATTCATCTGATATTTTTTTCGAGTTTGGTGTTGTGAGAATTAGATTCGGAACTATCAATAAGGGTTGGCAAAACATATCTCTTTTTTATCTGTCTACGTTTTGCAAAAGAATAGTTTTTCTAACCAAATGATTATTTTTGTTATTATTGAAAAGTTTAGAATCATACTGTATATATTATTTTGTAGATGGTCCAAAAATCATCAGTTCAATCGAATCAAAATAATTCCACACGGTTTGTAAGTCTACCTAGAAATCTCTCACACATTGGTTTGATAAGAATACGAATAATGTTTACTTTTGCTAAAGTTGATCCCATCAACCAAAAAAATGTCTTTATAACAAGAACTTAAAATTATATACATTTTTCTAATTAATTTATATGTGTGACTGCAGAAACCACTTCACATTTTAATTGCATACAGAACAACTATAGACTTTGTCTTACAACAATTCATAAGAAGAAGAAAAAAAATGTTATGTGCCTCTCAAGCATCACCAACAACCATTTGCTCAACCATGGACAAAACCTCACAACCTTCTTCTTCTTCTTCGGCCACGATCAGGCTCGGTGGTCGAGCCATCGACCGTCATAATCCAATCATACGTGACGGTCGGAGACTCACTCCTCCAGCTTCTCCGAACCTTAATCCCTCTTCTTCATCTTCTTCTACTTACCATACTCCTCTTAAGACTAGATTAGGTCTAGAGAGTAGTGAGCAAAAACGTGCAGCAAAGAGGAAGAGCAAGAAAGGTGACTCTGATGTTGGTAAGTCACCTTTTAATAGCGACACTCCACAGGGTTCTTCGAGGTACTTATTGAGCAACCCGGTTTTCTTTGACGGGTTTGTGGATTCCGACCCGATTCCAGTACCTATCGATGAACCAGAGATAACCAAAGCAGCTGATTTGGATAACTTTCATGAAGATAGACTGATCATAAACGCCTCAAAGTATGTTTCATCATCTTCTTCTTTCTTGGATAAGAAGCAACCCGATTTCTTCGAAGGGTTCTTGGATTATGAACCGGTTCTGTCTCCGGATAATCCCTTCTCTGAACCAACAAAAGCTTCTCCTACAGCATCTCTTAGCTCACTTGAAGATAAAGATGTTTCCTCCCCGGATTTCAAATTCTCTCCTCCTCCTCCTCCGCCACCTCCTTCTCCTCCTCAATCGTCGTCGCCGCCGCTACCACCACAGGAGAAAAACTCTTCTTCGGATCAAGTAAACCATCCAACAAAACCAATTCTTCGTAATGATCAATTAATATGTAATATCAAGCATAACAATCTTTTTTTGCTTTTGTCTAAAAGGTGGTTGTTCTGAGAGTATCACTTCATTGCAAAGGCTGTGCCGGGAAAGTCAAGAAACATCTATCGAAATTGAAAGGCAAGTAACAACTTTATTTCTAATGAATTTAGTTGTGAATTAGGGATCATTTGTATCTTGATTAGTTAAAATACTATGTTTTTGGTACGTTTTGATCGTTGTGTTATATGCAGGAGTGACGTCGTATAACATAGACTTCGCAGCAAAGAAGGTTACCGTGAGGGGAGAGGTAACACCGTTGACTGTGTTGGCGAGTATTTCCAAAGTTAAAAACGCACAGTTTTGGCCTGAGACTATTACTCAGAAGTAGTAATTCCCTTTTTTATTCCTCTGTTTTCCACGTATTTATTATGTTCTTATCTTTGTTTTTTCGAAGACATAACTTTGTGAAAATGTTACTCTCTGCCTTGTTGTCATAGCGTGATCATCTAAAAAAAAATCTTAGGATTGTTAAGTGTTTTGAAGTAAATCTTACCCTCATTATTGTTCAAGTTTTATGGAGAAAATATTTTTTTAGCTATCACTTATCAAGAAAAAAAAAGATAAGACTTGTATTTATTGTTTTCTTTGACAAGTGACAACAATTATATCAAAATTACCAAATTAATAATAATAACTATTATTATTATTTTTATTATAGCAATATAAAATAAAATCATGTAAAATTAAAAAGTAGGGGTGTATCCAAAGTAAAATTTAAATTGATTTGAGTTTCCTTGAGTTTTTAATGATTTTGGTGATTGTAGTGAAGTTCATATAATTTTAGTAATATCCTTTCAAATCTCACCTAAAACCATGAGATTGAATTATGTAATTTTAACTAAGGAAACTCTCTTAAATCTTCTCAAATCTTTCAAAATCATTAAAAATTAAATATATAAATTGTTTTTAATAACAGTGAATTTTAAGATGGATTTTGAAATTACTAGTTTAATAATACTGAATTTCATGAGACTTATTAAAATACATGTTTGAATAACATAGGATTTAATAGGATTTATAAATTCTACACAAATCTCAAAATTCTACTTTAAATACACCCCTAAATGTATTTAGTTTGACTCAAATTTTTGAAAAGGTAAACGTATTTAACCACATGATAAGATGTCCAAAAGTTTATTATATAAACCCCCTCAAAACCATATCAATTTGTAAAAAAAAAAGTAAGATTGCGATGACGAAATCAACTAATGTTCTTGTGGTAATTTTGTTTGGTCTCCTATTTGCTTGTGTCACTGAAGCCACTGAAAAGAACCTTGAGGATGAGACCAGCGGTCTAAAACCATGGTCACCATCACAACGCGTGGTCTTCAGAATGTTACCAAAATACGTTCCGATCCCTCCATCAGGACCAAGCAGAGGAGAGACTCCTCCAACGCCGCCACATAAACCAACCATGGTCGGTCTAAAACCAATGTCACCATCACAACGTCTAGTCTTCGGAATGTTACCAAAATACGTTCCAATTCCACCATCAGGACCAAGCAGAAAAGAAACTCCTCCATCGCCGCCACATAAACCAACCATGGTCGGTCTAAAACCATGGTCACCATCACAACGTCTAGTCTTCGGAATGTTACCAAAATACGTTCCAATCCCTCCATCAGGACCAAGCAGAAAAGAGACTCCTCCAACGCCGCCACATAAACCAACCATGTTCGGTCTAAAACCAATGTCACCATCACAACGTGTAGTCTTCAGAATGTTACCAAAATACGTTCCGATTCCACCATCAGGACCAAGCAGAGGAGAGACTCCTCCAACGCCGCCACATAGATACGTATGATACCATTGCATATTCTTCTCACGTAGAAGTAAACATGATGTAACAAGTCACCCGCTATCTATCTATTTAAAAACCAAACCTCTATAGAAATATTTGATCTGATCGAGGAATAAAAGTATGGCAATATTCGTGTGTTGTTTAGATAGCTTGTATTCATAAGAATCATCAAAGACTACTCCAGAGACAAAAGTCCAAATACAACACAAAGCCAACATTTCTAAGCAGAAGCTTGGGATAAAAGCTCAAAGCTTGTGCGTATTGAGCACATTAGCATCAAAATAGTCTTTATAAGGATGATCATCAGGAACCAATCTCCTAAACTCTTCAAATTGCTTGGCTGCTTCATCTTTCTTCTTCATCAATGTATAAATCAAACCTTGACATAGATATGGTCTAAAATCTCTAGGCTCATCTTTCACCAGTTCTTGATAAACCCTAAGTGCTTCAGTCGGATTCCCTTTTATAACCCTAATCTGTGCAATCAACAACATGAAATCTCTAAAATCTTTCTTCTTGTTCTCCTTCTTGCATTTCTCAATCGCCTCGTTGATTCTGCTCTCGACCTCTGATAGCTTGGATTCGGACTCCGAGTAAGCCATTACTAGCCCGTGGTAAGCTTCCACGCGAAACGGATCTTTCGAGAGAACCTCTTCGAATCCTTTAGTCGCTGAGTCGAAATCGCCGCCGTAGGTTTGTACCTGAGCTTTAAAGATCCGCCATTCCTGTTCTTCTGGTTCGATTTCGATCAAACGGTTTAGAATCTCCAAGGCGTGTTCCAGATTTTTGGTTTGGAATTTGATTTTCATCAGAGATTGAAGAGCTTTAACGTCGTTTGGATTCTCAGCGAGATGCTTCTCCAGCGCTGCTTCGTCTTTTTCTTCTTTTTGACTCGACGAGATTTGATCAGTTCCGCTGGATTTATCGGAAGCGAGATCCGCCGTCGTGGATGGTGGCGGAGGTGAGACGAGAGTTGCAGCGGTGGCGGGTTTGGTGGCGAGGTGTAGGGAAGCGGAGAACAAAGCGGCGGCTGTTGTTAGCGTTACGCATGTGGTTTTGAGGAAAGAGGGTTTAGGGTTTGAGGATGATGAAGACGAAGCTCTGATGGCGCGAGACGGAAGAGGTTTTTTAAAGATTCGGTATGAAACAGGTTTAGGCTGGGGTTTACGGTGACTGTCGAGTCGGAGGCGGAGGGTTTGATCACAGTAGTGAAACTTGGCCAGAGACGCCATTGTTGAGCTCCTCCGATAACAACCCTAAGGCTAAGGACGGCGATGTGATTCAGATAGAAGAAGAAGAAGAAGATACCAAAGCAAATTTTAGTTTACAGAATCAAAATCGTCGTCTGAATTCTATTTGGGCTTTGAATGTATTTTGTAAACTTAATGGGCTTATATATTTATCATCAATCTGGTTTAGGGTTCGATCGATTTAGATGATTAATTGTATATTATGTTTGGGCCGTCTATTACTATTTGGGCTTATAAAGGTCATGAAAACGAATATTACGTCGAGACTTGTATAGTTCTTTTGCTTATCGTGTACTAAACTACGTACTGGATTTATGATTTTGATTTTGACGGTGGTGGTGGCTTGGCTTTTTTTCTTAATTACTTTGCAATACTAAATTGTATATGTAGAAGAATTTCGAATTGAGTTTTGTTTTTAAGTGTGTACGAAATGAAATATCCTAGCTAGCTAGCACGAAAGAACCATAACTTTAAAATCATCGGCACCATCAATCCAAAGAAAACAAAAATCACATTGTTGTTATCAGAGAGGGGTTTGACTAGTTTATATAACCAATTAGTTTCGACTCTAAAAAATCCTAATTGTCGTGACGTCTAAAGAGTTATACCACCTTGTGGGTTATGTGGTATACCACTAATTCATGATACATATCATTTCTCAAATATAAAACAAAAAAAGTCATTATTGGTTAAACGAAAACACACAAAACCCCATCATTTGTTGTTGATTTGTTCATTGAAACTCGTGTTCGTCGTATACTCGTAAACTTGTGGCTACAAATTTTTTGATTCCCTCTACATTAATGAATACACTCTTGATTGACCAAAATGAGATGTTAACGTACGTTCAAGAGAAGTATATGCCAAGGTTACGCAAAAGAACTGGACCGTTGGAAACTCTTCTTAAATATATATAAAACAAAGAAGCAAAAATAATACAAATTGAAACGGCATGCCAAAGAGCTTGGAACTACATGCATGACATTACGTTTTCATTGGTATTTTTCTAAAGTACGTTGTCGTTTTAGACATTTCGTTTTCTTTTGCTAGGCATTTCGTTTTCTTGTTTGCTCTTTTTCATTCCTGTTGTTGACATTTATCATCTCCTTTTTTTTCCCTTTTTATTTCTCGTTTTGTAACGTTGGGAATAAAAGAAAAAAGTAGGCACCAAATTCGAATCTATTTTGAAGAAACAAGATTGATTGACTTTCACCATTAAGTACATTTTTGTCCTTTAAATTTGGCAATCCTTTTTATTCCAATTACTTGTTAAATAATTTGCTAACAAAACAGGAACTAGAGATGTAGAAATATGTAAGAATCAGTTCTTAATCATGCATTCTATTAAACTATTATTTGAAGAGAACATCTCTATCAGTTTGTATCGAAATTCTTTAATTAAAATGTTTAGTATTTTCTTGTGGTATATAAAAGTTCGTTATTTCCCCAAAATTTTGATAATGTGTGAAGTTTGAAAATGATTTTGGAAAACTAGATTCGCCAGTGTTCAGAATTAAAGATAACATCCACAATTATTCATATATATAAAGTCCCTAACTAATAATTAAAGAAAACTATATGTTAATAAGTTAAAAAGGAGCAATAGAACGAACAGTCGGGTCGGTCCAATGAATGAACCGAAAATGCGGAAATTGAGATGAAGAGTGTCTTCACCAAACAGACCAAACTTAGCTTCAACACTGACTAAAAGATCAAAAAGACAAGAATACAAAAACAGCCACCGCAGTTTTTGCGGTCATCACCAAATCCTAACACGCAATCCTATGTAGTGACGAACATTTTCACGTGCTTCCACGTGCCTTCCACGTGGCGTCTCAACTACTCGATCTCTGTCCAAACCAATGTTTTTTTGGTCCAGCATTGGTTTTTCTTCTTATCAAACACGACGCCAAACTAGTTAAACGACGGCGAGGCGAGGTATACACAAGTAAAGAAAGTCGTTTATCGCAGATAAGCTTATATCAAACTCCACAAATCTTTAAATGACGGTGGTCGGTGGTAATGGTCATAATAGCCCATCAGCCATCACCACTGATATAATTATTATTTTCCAAGTGTTCATGATTCTAAGGCTTAAGCATATAGATATATATGATGAATGTCATGAATATGTATCAGTCCGAAGTTGAATTATGTTTTAATTGTGATCAATATTTCTGATATTAAATTAAATTGCTTCAACCGCAGTGTTTGACTTTTGACTAGTAAAAATATTTATACCAACTTTTATATTTTCATATACTAAACATACGTATTCACATATGATAAAAATAAATGTATATGAATAAAAACTATATATACTTATACTGTACATAAAATATGAAGAATGTAAAAGCACGATCTAATATAATTGAGATACATATGCAAATGGAATTATATCATGAAGGAAAAAAGGGGTGCAAAGAAACTTCATAAATGGAGATGAAAAAGAAATATTCCTATTTAGTGAATTTATTCATTCCTAACGAACATCACGACACATATATATATGTCCCTAATAAGTATATAGAATCGGATCATACATATACAATTTTTTTTATTAATCATACATGCATATATACATACCCATATATAGTATAGGTATGTGTATGCGAATGTATGCGTAAGTAAAAAAAGGTAGGGGTGTCATGATCTTAGATAGTAGTTCGTGAAAGCAAATCTCGGATTCTTCGAGCTGTCTCTTTCTCGGTCGGTATTTCTTCTCGTCTTCTCTCGTATGCCTCGAAGAACTCTTTGTTCTCTCTCTCTAGCTCCTTCCACACTGCATACAATTATTTTTAATCAATTCTCTCCGCTCCTCCTTATCTTTAATATACCGTATATACCTATGTGTGTATATATGTGTGTACCTGTGGAAGTGATGATAGGCTTGATATTAGCATGCTTGAACAGAGCATCCATACACTCTTCTTTGCCCATGTTGAATAATATACATTCTTCTATCAAATGATGCACCTGCAGCCAATAATTTCACACACATGATGATGATCAGCTAGCATGTCTTCAAGAGACAAAGGATATCCAAAGATCAGAGATTGATGATTTGACAAGAAGAAGAAGAAGAAGAAAAAGTAAAGAAAAGAGATTGGTTAAGAAGTCGAACCAGATGGATGTAAGAGGCTTGAGAGCTATTCTGATCACCCATGATTATCAGATTGTTATAGAGAGACTATATAAATTAAGATGATGATGATGATGATGATGATGATGATGGAGGGGAGAAGATAGGCTGGTGAAGAGAGGTATATATATATAAAAAGGAACGCTACCAGAGCCGGAAAATAGTAAGAGAAGAGACTCCTTCATTAAAATATTTAATTTATATAAGTAAAAAAAAATATCTACAAAGAAAGAAAGAAAATTAAGTAATATATGTAGATTGTCACGGAACGACCTATTATAAAAATGGACAAGGGTTTTTGTTTTATTTGTGTTAGTTGATTACAGATATTCAAAAATAATCGAATCAATTTTTTGCGAATGTTACCTTTTTTTGCTTTTTGCTAAAATTGACATGTTTCTCTCTGTTCATCGAATCGAATCATGAGAAGAAGAATTGATCATTATTAGACGAAGAAGAAGAAGAAAAAATAGAAAGTAAAAATAATAAAATCAGTAAGACAAAAATAAAAAACATTTAAAATATGTTATCTTTGTTTTAGACTAAACGGCGATGCTCTCTCTTTGGTTTCAGTTTTTTTATTTTTTAATGCTGACTTGTAACAAGAGGGGGTCACGTGGGCATTAGCTTATGATTGGCTGAGAGGAGATTACAATTAGATTTTTTACGAAACGGTAATGCTTACGTGGCACTGGGTCCGTTTATCACGTGAAGTAGGGTCCGTTTTAACATAGTTTTAAAACTATATTACTACTATATGATTAATTCATAATCATTACTGTTTTAGCATCTGCTTAATACAGTCTTTGCTGTTGTTTACTTTATAATATTAAATCATTTTTATTTTTGTATTTTTTTTGCCTTTGTAATAATGTCACCTACTTCTACCTACCAAAACATTGACATTTTTTACACCGTGATAATCGTTTTTTTACGAATGTCTTTTCTTTATTAGTAGTATATATGTACAACAGTACTCCCTTTTTTTGGTCTTCGAATGATATTAGGTTTTAATAATTAAAACCTTGGCTACAGTTTAATTTGTAAACGAGCTAATTAAGTGATGCCGTTTCTATAATAAATCAAAAGCCACCCGTATCTTTTCCAAACGAGCCAAACAACAAGTGATGTATGTGATCAGGATTTTCATAAATCTCCACAATTATACTTATATGTACATATCCTTATAATCTTGAATCATGCATGCATGCATGCATGCATGGAGAGATGGAGCAATGTTCCATATGACTCAGACTGAGTGTGGGTATCCGAAGAACTTCCACCATACGAACATTTGGGTAACGTGAACACATATTGGTTAAAACGATTTAAAACATTGGTGTGCAACGTTTTTCTAATATTACCCAACCTTCGAATCCAATCAATGGTTCTAGCTAAAACATTCTCTAAATGCAATTAATATAGTATTCTTTTACGATCATTATTTACAAAAATATCTGCAATCTACTATAGTATTTTTGCAACATTATTCAAATAAGAAAAAGTTAGCATTTATAGTTGAAATAAAAATATATTGCTTGACCGAGGAATTTGGATCCATTCGAATGTAACCGTCACCTGAAAATCACGTGAAAGATACGTTACAACTGAAGTTATAACATAATTAGCGGATCTAGTTAAACGCTATGTAACAGCTGTATATTTCAGTTTCGTGCGATTAAATAATATATAAATTAGATTATGATACATATTTAATGTGCTTTTTATAGTACAAAACACTTGATGGCTTATGTGCCAGTTGAGAGAAAATATATAGTTTGGAGTGATGGGTAAACAGAAAGACAATCTCAAGATTATATATGTTCAAATAGCTTATCAGCGTACATCATGAACCAAATCATCAATATAGAAATTATTTGTCTAAACATAAAATTCTATCTCAAACCTGTTGTTCCATCGCAACAAAACATTTGATATACTTTGAAAAGTAGGAATGAGTTCTGAGATGTACTTGGGAGTTTCCCCACATCTTGGGAAGGCTTTTGCCGTTGGATTCTCGAACCTTATTTTGAGGGACCACCGAAGTTTGGTAACTGTATATGTCGGAGAAGTCCTTCTTGGAAACTCATTTTAGCTAGTACAAAGTTTACATCACCAAAAGTATATAAAACCACTTATACTACAATGTCATCAAAATATACACAAAACTCATCCATCAGTGGTACCAGTTTCACCTTATCTTTTTGGGTGTGAAAAAATATTTCTAATTTTTTTAACATTATATGTTTTAGCGTAACCAAAAAAATGAAAACAAACTACATTCACGCGAATATCTTAACAGGCCTAAACTATTTCCACTTGTTCGTAGAGATATATTGGTCAAGGCCCAATAAAGCCCATATAAACCGCCGACTTTACCGCCATCCGTTGATTAGTATTACGATAGTAACAGCTATTGATCTAACGAGTTGGAAAAATACACGTCACGGATCCGTGCCATGTTCCAAGATCCAATTATTATCATCTCACGAAACGTATAAATTCGAAACCGAAACCCCTCAAAAAAATCATCATCTCTAGTTGTTTCATATTCCCCAGAAGAATTCAATTCATCGTTCAATCTCTTCGAGATAATGGCGCCCAAGGCAGAGAAGAAACCGGCGGAGAAAGGACCAGCGAAGGCGGAGAAGAAGATCGCGAAGGAAGGAACAAGCGAGGTAAAGAAGAAGAAGAAGACGAAGAAGAGCACGGAGACGTACAAGATCTACATCTTCAAGGTGTTGAAACAGGTTCATCCAGATATTGGGATCTCTGGTAAAGCCATGGGGATCATGAACAGTTTCATCAACGACATCTTCGAGAAACTCGCTCAGGAATCGTCTCGCCTCGCCAGGTACAATAAGAAACCGACCATTACCTCCCGTGAGATCCAAACCGCCGTCAGACTCGTTTTGCCTGGTGAATTGGCTAAGCATGCCGTCTCTGAAGGCACCAAAGCCGTCACCAAATTCACAAGCTCTTAGATCTTTTCTTTGCTTTTCTTTCTTTTTGTCTTTTTATCAAATCTTATCATATGATTATGATACCTGAATAATAATACATTGTTCATATGAATTCTCTTCTTTTTAATTAAAGGTTGGATTTTTCTGATTCTAGAGACTAATGTATATGAAACGTAGTATCTTTATATACGAACATGACACATTGTTTACAACATGGTGGACAAAAAGTAAGAGATGCTCTGTCTTTACAGAGAAACAGAGTGAGATAGAGAGAAACATTAGAGAGTAGGGATGATGAACTATACCTTTTTAGGGGATTTGGTAGCCTTTGATGGTGACTTGGGTGTTTTTGTAGTTGAAGCTGCTCTCTCAGATTTCTTTGGGAGGAGGATTGGGTTTATGTTTGGTAAGACTCCACCGTGTGCGATGGTTACGCCTTTGAGTAGCGTCCCCAGCTCCTCGTCGTTCCTCACTGCTAATAAAACATGGCGTGGTATGATGCGGTTCTTTTTGTTATCTCTTGCAGCGTTGCCCGCAAGCTCAAGAACCTAGATGGACAACATATATTATTGACTAGACATGGTAACCTCAAAGGAAAGTTTTGTCATTTGTGACATTCGTGGTCAAGATAAGTCTGCAAGATTTTGAACATCGAGAGTTACATTGCAACAAGTTGATTCAAAAGATGAGATTATATCCAAAAGATGGGTTCTAGACATTTGCTGAAAAAATTGATCTGAAACATGCACATCAGTCCAAGTTACTCATAAGTTAACAATGTAGTTTACTTGCATGTGCTATGTAACTTTAGTTTTTACGGTTGGTCAACATCTCCTCCGTAGAATTTACTCTTGGTTCAAAACATACCTATCTATGGGATTTACAAGGCAACATGTTTTGAACCTAACTGAAACTATGTTCTTGAGGTTGGTCTAATCGTGTGATATAAAATCTAACAAATACAAATTGCACAACCTCACAACTTAGGAATCGTTTTCTATTTGCGTCCCGAGAAAATCTGCAAAGAAGTATAATTTCACCCTAAAATTCAGACTCAGATCACATCCTATAATTCAAAAACTATCTGGTCAACGAAACATTACTGCTGTGTAAGCTAAGAACATAACAAATACAACGAGAATCAGAAAATTTTGATTTTGATACCTCAGCAGCAAGATACTCGAGGACGGCGGCGAGATAGACCGGAGCTCCGGTTCCAACACGCTTCGAGTAACGGCCTTTCTTGAGATACCGACCGATCCTACCGACGGGAAACTGTAGACCAGATTTAACCGAGCGGGAAACCGGTTTCTTCTTAGGACCTCCACCACCACCTCTTCTTCCAGCGGCTCCTTTCTTCACTTTTGTTCCAGAATCCATATGCCTTTACTTTGGTTTTGATCTTGATCGGACCGGAATTATACAAAACAGAGCTTTGGCGTAAGATAGCGTAAGAGGTTTCGTTGCTTAGTTTTGTGACTTTTGTCAGTTGATTAATCTTAGCTTTTGGATTGAAAGTGAATCAACGGCTACGATTTGCTGATTTGGCTATCGTTGCTTCATGATATATTTCTATGATATATATATATATATATATATATATTTTTTTTTTTTTTTTTATTAAACAATTTTTTCTGATATTAAGCACCAAGATTTACTATTTTTGAAGTGAGCTGTGTATGAAAAATAAAACTTAGGAAAATAATTTTGATACGTTGTTAAATATATTCGAGAACTTAAAAAAAAAAATGTAGTATCAATGACCATAAACTATTCATTCATGTAATATCTCCTCTTCTGTTTTTTTTTGTTGGTAAAATTTTTGATGTCTCCTTTACCTCTTTGGTCGTGGGTTCACATTTATGTATTGCATTCACCGACCATATCCCAAGAGGCCAAGACATGGCTTTAACAATAATGTTATGGATGATTCAACATTTTGAAACTGAACCAGAACCAGAACCCTATCTCGTACTCTTAGCCGTACATCATGATTCAACGCAGACAAATTCGTTCACATGCATTATTAGTAGCATCCGTTAACCATCTCCGTATATCTCTCGTTAACAGGCTTCTCATGCGGTCATGCTCACTTACTTACAATACCATTGTTATATTTTTTTTAAAAAAGATGCATCAACGATCTGATCCAAAATTCAATTTCATATAATATCTTACTTCTACAACTATCTTTGTAGACATATACATATAATTTTTGTGGAAATGGCCATGTTCGAGTCTCATTCAAATCTATCTTATCAACTGGAAAATTCAGACAAAGGAAATTAAATACATGTTTGCATTCGTGTCGTATGGCTCTAGTGAACGTATTTACAACATTAAATTCCGACGATACTGACATCTCCTCACATGGGGGAGAAATGTTTGTCCTCTCTAGTCTCTACACAAGAAATACAATAATTTGGGTTCTTAATTTATATAATGTTTGTAAAAGCTTATCGTAAGTTTTAATATCTGTCAGAGAACTACATTATATTATCTATTGTATAATCTCATCAAATGCAATGAACTTTTTTTGCTTTCCACTAAGTGCAATGAACCATGATGGTTATCAGAGAAGTTTAACATTTAATCGCAGTTATCGTATGTAACATTAATAGATTGCAAAAGCTGTGACTATTCTTTTTTTTTTTTTTTTTGCAGAAGTAAGACTATTCAAATATAGTTAATTGCGGTTATTAAATTCTGCATCTCCCACACCACATGGACTCATGTATAGTGATGGATGGATACATTATAATTTATTTACCTAAAACAAATTATAATTGGTTTACAAAAAAAAAAAACAAATTATAATTAACACAAATTATATGGTCAATCTTTATATATAGGTTTACCTAACCAAAGGTCCACAGGTAAACATTTAGGTAACTAGCGTAAATAGTAGGATACATCATTTTAGATCAGAACCATTTGACCATGCACAGAACATTTACTGAACCATTTGACCATGCGCAGAGATCTATATACTGAAATGGTATGCAAATACATATTGGACATTTTAGTGTTGCTACTTTCGAAAGGGTTCAAATAATTTTTTTTTTGGACAAATGGGTTCAAATAATTATATACTTTTAATTACAGAGCAAGCTTTTACGAACATATTAATTCACATAATTATAAGAAGATTTATGATATTTATACCCAATAAGAGATGACATGATGATAATTTGAAACGGTAATAGTACCAAAAACAGATGTTAATGATGCTTTCATTTTCGTTCTACCACTTTTGTTCAATATTTTTTTTTTGTTTCTCGTCCACTTTATGATTGATATTATATCCAAGAGGTACATCTGGTGTAAGAGGTTTCCAATCAAACTTACTACTACTAAAGAGTAACACAAAATCCACACTGCATAAATTAGATAAAACATGCGCTAGAATCGTTTGACATGTGTCAAACAAAGAGAGAATGATAAGAAATTTACAAATTCATGTTTCATATATTTTGTTCGTGTTATTGTTAGTAAAAAATCATTAAATATTTCACATTCTTTAAAGATACTAGAATTAACCAGTTAATACATGCTCTCTAAATTCAGATTTCAGATAATTACTGGTCTATACCTAACCCCATTTGTTTTCACCACTCTTTTATATATAAACAAGTCTCTCTTTATCTCTCGATCTCATCATCACTCTTATTACACACAAATCTCTCTCTATCTCTATCTCCTTTTGTCTCCCTCTCTCTCTCTCTCTTCTCTTTCTCTTAATCTTTCTTGCCTGAATCTGTAGCTAAACCATGTCGGAGAGACCAAGCCGTCACCAGAGAAGACCTTCTCAGAGCTTCCCGATCTCCCTTGATGATCTCTCCGATATCTCCCTCGCAGCAAACCCTCCTTCCTCCGTTCCTACTCAGCCACCGCGCCACCAGATCCCTCCGCCTTCTCCAGCCGCTCCTCCGGCCAACAATGTTAGCCAGGATCCCAAAGGGACTGCTTCTTCTAATTGAGTTCTCGTTTTTAATTTAAGTTTTAAGCCTTTTTAATTATCGCATAAGCCTCTTTCCTCCTTCTCCCTTCTGTATTTTTCTTTTTAATTTCCGCTTAATAATCAGATTTTGTATGATAAAGAGTCAATGTAATTTCGTAATCGGGTTCATGGTGATATCAAATGAAGAATACAAGGGAAAAACCTTATCATTGTATTAAAAGAAAATATATATATAACCAAAATCTGAATTATACAATTTTCTTGATTGAGAAGAAAAAGAATTACTAGGCCACCAAAGTCCGAAATATTCATGTAACGCCTTATGAGATTACACTATCGAAAAAAGGCTTTGAAAAATAAGTTATGGGTTGACGTTGACCGAGAGATCCGTGGGTCTTCTATATTGAAAAATGGAAAAAGCTTTGAAGTACTAAAAATAATATTATTTAAATAGATATATTGACGCAAACATCAATTAAGATTAGTTTTAACTAACAAAAAACCTGCGTAAAATCATGATCTTTATACGAATTTCTTTTCTTCTTAATAAATTCAATTGCATATTTCGTAATTGTTTTATTTGTATTGATTCATCTAATTTTTAGTCAACTAATTTTTGGTTTCTAGAAGCTGATAAATAATATTTTGACTAAAAGCAATAAGTACTAAAATTAATATAATCCGTTAACTGTCAGGAAAAATGTGTTGACAAAAGAAACAAAATGATAATTGATGTCTCCATTGAGAGCATGCATAATAATACTCATATTTTTTTTCTATTGTCTTTCGAAGTCGCATCTTTATGGAACCTAATATTTATCCATTTTAAATGGCAAAACGAGAATAGTACATAAGTAGTTTAGTTTAGAATGATATATAACTAAAACGAAGCATATATTATAAGGGAGCAAGTGAAAAGGGTTAAGCATATGTTTAGTTGACAAACTCTTTTATGAAACGTGAACTGATTTTCAAAGGGAGAGATGTCGTAGCCTTAGATGGAGTATTTACTAAATGATCATCTACTGTATATATATATAATAACAAAAACCAACTAGTATTACGTAAAATAAAAGGATGGCAATGAATAAAAATGATTGAGAGAATTCATGTGGCCAGTGGTATTTGGTCGCTATAAAAGATTTGATCATGTTGCTGGAAATATAATCGAAATTCCAAAATTCATTAGTCTCTCAAATAATAAATAATTGCTGTTTACTTGTTAGTTTTGTTATACTAGTATTATTCTCCATTAAATAGATTAAACTGAGATATATTATTATTATTAGTGGGCGGATCCAGTTTAAGCGGGAGAGGAGGAGCTTAATGCGATTGTCAAGATTCCGTCGGTGTTCCCAAAGACAAAAAAAAAAGTTTATAAAACAAATAAAAATAAGAGAAAAAGGTAATACTAATTTGTAAGAAAAATATCACTATTTCAACATCAAATACAAGTATTTCCATCGATCAGACGTTTTGTCTGTATCCAAAGAATTCGTTTATTTTATCAGGAAAATTTGCTTTTTGATTGGATAAATACTGATATTAGTATTTACTTAAAAATCATTTTTAAAAAATCACACATGGTTGTAATAATTTTTGTATGTTGTTTTGTTTGGTCAGACTACTTTGTATATCTCTCTAACGGGTGGTCAATAAAGGTAAAAGCCGGAGGATAAAAGAAAAAGTGAAAAGATCAGTCACCAAAGCCACATTACTCTCTCAATAATCTTTGGGTACATAGCATGCATCTAGTCAAAGAAACTGATATGTAAATGAATTTTATGCTTAATATATATATATATATAGTTACTGAAAAATAGACATAAAAATTCTGTCCGATTTGATTTAAAATTCTAATGATAAACTTACGTTATTGTATACAACTTTGCCAAAAAAAAGTTAAGATAATTGTATTTTTCAAATCTGTCCCGATTTTTCCAAAAAGAAAAAAAGAAAACAATAAAAAGGAAATATGAAAAAGGAAACGTGCGACCACGTGGTGAATCACGTTGTAATGGGCCACCGGCCCAACATAATACCGTTATACGGTTATAATGTGTCGTTTACCAAAAATACAATTATTTTTTCTTTTTTAAGAACATAGGAAATCCCAAAAGCAACATTTTTAAACCGGAATAAACCGCTATCAAAACTGCACCGACCGAGGCATATTGAACCCAAACAGCCGATCTGATTTCACCGAATCTTTCTTGGCTCTTTCTCTGTTGCTACTTTATTGATGTTATATATATACTATTAGATAGTGTTATAAACTGTGGTTTGTGGATAATTGTTAAGGTTTTCTAAAAACCTCCCTCTCAACTTGCAAATGTGTAAAAAAAAAAGAACTCTGTTTCTTGACCTAATTAAGGTCAATGAAGACAAATATATTTAGTCATGCTTTTCGTTGTACGTAGGTTAGAGAAAGTGAGATCAATCTATATGGGACAAGTGATGAACAATCATTCTTTTATTGTCCATGCTATGAAAAAAGATTTAACACCGTTACATAATCACTCGATAAAAATAATTTGGCATACAATAAATGCCTCGGAGTTACCATATGATAGGGTGGAAAGAAGAAACAAGGTGGTGTGAATCACATCCCAATCTCTACCTTTTCTCTTCACTCTCAAAACGAGAACTTCATAGTTGATTAAGTGGTGTCATCAAAACCCAAGTAGTTCTTTTTAGAAACCGAGTTGATTAGCTTAACGCTGAAGTCCCACAGTTTCTGTGCCAAAGTCTCATCTCTAGCAAGTTTGCTTGGAGTCACTTCGTTGCAGTCTGCATAATACTTTCCTGTTACTCCCTTCACACTTGGATGCAGAGCAACATAACAAGTTGTCGCTGCTCCCTGTCAACATTACGTCAGGTATCACAATGTTGTTCTCATACTCGTTATTCTTTTTCTAGTATAGTATATAGTGTAGTACCTGAGGTATATTTTTCCACAAGTAGAAGCTGAAGAACTTCAAGAACCCTGTGAAAAACAGAGTTTGTATATATAGCTATTAAAAAAGGAATAATTTGAAGAAAAAAACTAGAGAAAGAAAGAAAAAAAATGGGGGAATCTTACTCATTAAAAGAGCAGTGTGTTGGAAGAGATTAGTGAGAATGAGACCAGGGTGAACTGAGTTTGCTGTTATGTTAACCCCCTCTTCCTACCAAACAATGTCCCCATAAGATTTTGAGTTTTATTCTTATTTAAGTGTTTATGAATTTGTGACAGTACTAATTAACATTTTACTATATGTGTCTGCGTGTGTGAAGGCAACCTGAAATTGGCGGGAGAGCTCATTCGCGTGCAATATATTGGCTAGTTTCGATTGTCCGTAAGCTCGTTTATCGGAGTAACTGAGAGGGGAAACAGGGGGTTATAAGATGCAATGCGAAAGATAATATCAAAGGGGGTTATAAGATGCAATGCGAAAGATAATATCAAAGGGGGTTATAAGATGCAATGTGAAAGATAATATCAAAGATAGTAACAACTATTGAACTTACCTGCAAATGTCATTGATGCTGTCGAACTGGATTCCATCTTGGTGTGTATAGATATGAGCTACAGATGATACATTTAAGATCCTTCCTTCAACGCCACTGGTCTTAGCTGTGCTCTTCATTGTGTCTAGTAGCAAGTTTGTCAGCAGAAAATGACCTGTATATATATATACATGCATATAGCATAATTCAACTATTACTTTTGTCAATATTTCAGCTTTAATTTTTTTGAAACCAAAAGCATTTTTGATGAAACTTTTGACTTAAATATAATAATTTACCAATGTGGTTTGTAGCAAACTGCAATTCGATACCATCTTCTGATAGTTGGTATGGACAGAACATTACTCCTGCATTGTTTCTGCACAACACCATTTTTGTGCAAACTTTATATCGATACAAATCTCTGATAAAGCTTAACATTTTTGTTTCTTTCACAGATAGACTTTATAAGTGAAAAAAAAAAAATCATGTTTTCTTGCTACAAGTAGTTAATATATATATATCTACCAAACTAAGTCATACGTATGTAGATGTAGGGGGCCTCACTCCTTGTTTCTAGGATTAATAATGGTTCTGAAAGGTCGCTACCACAATGATAATAGTCACATTGTTAGCAGTAAAAATGTCATGCTTGGGGTGTGAATATATTACTAGTCTTTTTTCATAGCATTAAAACATCAAACAAGAAACGAAAAAAAAGCTAACCAAAATGATTATTACTTAACTAACGTAATTTAAGCTATGACAGAGGAATGTTAACAGAAACAGTGATAACGTTGTTGATGTCACAAAATCAATGATCCAAACGCTAAAATCGGCGGTTCAAACGCTTTAAACTTGAGTGTGAGAGAAAGAGTGTACGTACATGAGGAGATTGAGAGGGAGATGGAGGGCATGAAATTCACGAACAAAGGCTTTGATAGATTTGAAGGAAGAGAGATCTAAGTGTAGAAGTGTGACACGTGCGTTTGCGTTTTGTCTGAGTATCTCAGTTTTGGCGTTTTCTGCGCCTCTCATGTTTCGGGCACCAATGACCACATGAGCTCCTCTCTTCGACAGTACCCTCGCCGTCTCCAACCCTATCCCTCCTGTTCCCCCTACAGATGAAATCAATATCAAATTGGTTAATCACGCCATTGCTTAAGATTTTGTGATTGGTGCTTGCGGTTGCAATCTTTTTATTTGGACAAACATACAACAATTGTGATAGCATAATTTTGTAATTATAAAAAAAATGTACATGAAATTTTTTATTTTTGACGTTAAGTCGTTTAATACAATATAAATAAATCATGCGTTATAAACTTGCATAAATCATGCAAGTATAAGTGTATACACGCACCTGTGATGATTGCAGTGAGATGAGTTGCATCAATCCCTTGAGTAACCTCTTCAGCTGTTGAAGCTGAACCAAACCCACTTGGTCCTCTTCTCCCTGTGATTAGCGAATATAATCCCATATTCTTCCTTTGATTGACGTTTCTATTTTTTGATATTTAGAGATCTTTCCTCTCAGGAATCAATCAATGTGGAAGTTATAGAGGGAGAGAGAGAGAGAGAAAGCGACCAAAAGAAGACGAAGAGAAGTTTAGGAGAATAAAGTGGTACTATGAGAAAATCATATTTATAAGTGGCAAAGAGTTTCATTAATGCGTTTTTGGTACCTTCTAGTTTTATCGACATTATTATGTGAATCGATCTATGAATACTAAATACGCCTCACACCTTTCCACACCGATCTTGAATATTCTACTACAATTTTTTTTATTTTTTTTTCCTAAATTGTGTCGATCCATAGTGCTGTGCATGCACTCGAGTCTAGTTAAGAAGAAGTTCATATCTCTCTATCGAGAAAGAGAAAAACTTGGCTTTGTCAACTAAGAAATTAAGCATGTCTATTCTTCAATAAGTTGCGGTTTAACTTCTAAGCTCTTTTTAGTCATTGTCCTCTAGCAAACCTTGCAACTGGATTCTAAATTGCCGACAGCGTACGGCAGTTGTTGTTTTCTCTATTGATATTCAGAAAGACACTATACCATATAAGAGATACGAATCTTTTGTTTATACAATGTGTAGTATCTATTCTCGTTCAGAAGATTTACACAAAGTATCTTAGGTAAAGTTCTAGTGGGTATTACTGTGATCTCCTCCTTTTTTTTGGGTTTTAATGTCCCCTACTTTGTCTGAGGTTACAACAAAAATAATTAGATTTTTTCGTGGAAAAAAAATGAAGACTACCTAAGTAAACGTAACATTTTGGGATTGATGATTACTCCTCCCCAATTAGAGGGTATTAGGGTGGCTTGATAATACTAGTTGAATAGCTAAATGATGTTTGAATCAAAATAGGGTTGACCAGATTATTAATGAAGGGTTGGTGAGAAGCCGTTGGTTACTATTATACTGAATTTTCAGCTACTTGGCATCCTTCTTTCTTCACATGTTTCCAGTGAGTGTGTGTTTACCCAAATCCTTCCTAATCTTGGCAAAATTCGTTTTCTTATAAAGAAAGACGCACTACCATTTGATTAACACAAGTAGAATCTTTGCAAAAATAGCACAATGTTCGTACTCAAATAATGTCTAACACAATTCCTTAGAACAAACCAAAGCTAACTTAACTACATTTGCTTAAAACAAACTAAAGTACTACCTTGGAAAGAAAAGTTACAGGGACTAGCTAGTACTAATAATATGGTATTAGTTGTTACAGCCTAGTTACTTTACTTGAGAAAGTTTTTAACCGGCAGTTAAAAAAGGATCTTAATTTATAAGTAAATTAAATATACAGAATGAATTAATTAAATTGATAGCCCGTGCTCATAGGTGTTCCTTTCACATCCCGTTTCCAAGTTCAGAGAATCCAACTACTCTCGAGATTTCCATTATTCATTTTTTATTTGCCTTACAAAATTGATTGCCCGGGAGAGCCCTGATAATGACATAGTTAGGTGGTAGATAATTACACGAAGGTACACACACACACACGACACACCACTGTCCGAGATTAATGCCATAGTTATAATCATTATAATTAATTAGCTAATTCTATAATTTTTCAAAAGTGAATCTAACTATCAAAGAAAGCTATGTGATGCAGAAACAGATAGTTGAACAACTTGTAATGGTAGTTGAGGGCACTTTTTTCTTCTTTCAAAGTCGAAGTTTGATTTGGCAATTAATATAAGGAGTATGATGTAATTCAACTTGATGAGAACAATTTAATATTGAATGTAACAGGTTCATCAGTCACACACTTGTCATGCAAATTATATAGTCCCTGCGAGCTGGTTAACAACATATATCTAATGGGATATATGGAGCAGCCTAGCTACATTTATAAACTGCTTAATTCAGTAAAACATATAAACCAAAAAGAAAAAAATAGAAGTGATTATATCGCTGGATCTATCTAGTTATCTATACCTTGGGAGAAGATATTGAGGGCATTTATTTTTACTAAGGATATATTCATCATCATACTTGCAGCGGCGAGGGCCGAGGGGCACATGACACACGGCTCACCGCATGGGGATGTGATGTAACCATGTGAGACCGCGCTAACGATATTTATATTATTTATTTATTTCCACTATACTACTATTATTGACAAAACTAATAATAATATTATTATTATCATGTAACGGTTAGTTATTTATTCTGTGGATAAAATATTATATTTATAACTTAGTGGTTTGTACTAATGAATGCTGTTGATGTAGGCATCATTGAGTTTAAAATCTGTATATTAGTTAATAAGCCAAATCATATAACGATTACATATATATATATATATATATATATATATATATATATATAAATTTGGCTAAGTATTCTTTGTACGTGACGCAAAATGTGTTTGCCCGCCCATATTGAGTTGACTTGCAATTACTAAAACACGAATGTACGTTCTGATATATACTCATATACTAACGAACTACACACAGTGCCCATACAGATACAGGCTAAAAGCGTGTGCTTCACATGTACTTGTCCACATCTGTTGGATTTTGACTATATACAGTATATTATTAAGTTGATGACGACTATGAGCCAGTGGATATTTATGATTCCAATAAGGCCCATTTAGGAGTGCTCTTGGCATTTGTCGTAATACTGACCAAGATTATAACGGTGGCTACTAAACCCAAACTGACATCTGATCCCACGGTGGAGGAAGTAAAAGTTTTCATATGATTATCCATAACTTTTATCGAAATAAACTAATCAATAACTCAAGTGAAGAAGCCAGATTAATATGTATAGATTTAGATTTAATGCTCATTCAAGAAGCCAATGCCTCGATTGGTAACCATGATTTAGGAAAAAATGAGAAGGAAATGTGACATTTCTCTTCATTCCTCAATTTTTTTACCATTTACAAGGAATCATTTTTCCACATCATTCCTCTACATTCCTCACAAAATGAGGAACAATAGAACAAAAATGTTTCTCCCCAAAATTGATGAGGAACAAATGGAACAAAAAAAAAATAAATATTAAAATTCGTTTTTTATTATTAATAATATTTTAATCTCATAATATAATATTTTTCATATTTTTATCATGTATTGACATTAAAAAATATTTTTGATATGAATTTCATGTTAAAAAATCTTACTATACATTATTTAAAATTTGTATGGATAGTAAAACATATTTAAGAGATGTTTATATCATAAATAACAAATAAAAATTACTATAATCTATAATAGGTTAATATAAATTATTAATTTTTAACATTAAATATTTAAATTCATTCAAAAATATATTTTAAAATTAGTGTCAAATTCATTATATATAAATTATATCTAGTATTATTATTAAAAGTTGATTTATTTAATCAAATATATTATAAAAGATAGTGTTATTGTTTGGTTACCATTTATTATTTTGTTTTTCTCTGCATGTTTTCCTTTCATTTCTCAAATTCATTCTGTATTGTTCTTTTTGTTTTTTTTCTTTTTGTTCCTCTAATGGTTACCAGTAGAAGCCCAAGTGTTTCATATATTCGTTTGTGGTCGTTATTTTGTAAGCAACATTTTCGCGTCTAACGAAGATCACACATAGATCCTACGACATTAATAAATCAACGGTGCTCGAATCACACACTTAAATCATGCCTTGTTGCTGACACAAAATACAATCTTATTGCTATGTGGTCCTATCACTCCTCCTATCTCGACTTAAGAGGCCGTAGATATATAGCTCCCTTTCAATTTTGGCCCATATTTGAGGCCGTTGATAGATATGATAAAGATAGGCCCATTAATAATCTAAGGGTCTATTTAGCAAAATTTAAACAACCAAGGGAACAAAACAATGTTTACTCAGATTTAAGGGGCCTTTATTGTAATTATACCGAGAAGATATTATAGCAGCTTCTCTCTCCCTTTCTCTCTCTCTCTCTCTGAGCGTTGTTTTTCATCTTCATCTCTCACTGCAGCAAAACCCTAGCTGCTCATCTCTGTATCGAAACCAGAGAAAAGATCCGGCGAAGATGTCAGGTGGTTTGGATATGTCACTCGATGACATCATCAAATCTAATCGGAAACCTACTGGATCTCGTGGCCGAGGAGGCGTTGGTGGTAATAGTACCGGTGGTCGCGGAGGATTCGGCGGTTCCGGTTCCGGTCCATCTCGTCGGTTTGCTAACCGCGTAGGAAACAGAACGGCGCCGTATTCAAGGGTCAGCCTTTGATTTTATACATCCCTTAACCTTCTTCCTTCCAGAAAATCAGAGAATTCAATTAGGTTTTTTTTTTTCAACAAAGAGTTGAGATCTTTTTTCGTTTCTTCTTTGACGAACAAAAACAGCCGGTGCAACTACAAGCTCAAGACGCGATGTGGCAAAACGATGTTTTCGCGACGGATGCGAGTGTTGCTGCGGCTTTTGGGCATCAACCGGCTGCTGTTGTTGGTGGCTCCTCAATCGAGACTGGAACTAAGCTCTACATTTCCAACTTAGACTATGGTGTCTCCAATGAGGATATCAAGGTTTGGCTTCTATTTTCGTTCATTTTGTAGATTGCAATAGATTTGAGCCTTAACTAGGAGAAAATAGTGTGGCTTTAGTGTTTATCTGGTTGAGATACTTTTCCTAATTTCGAGTTGTGTTTGTTTGTAGGAGCTTTTTTCAGAGGTTGGTGACCTTAAGCGATATGGGATTCACTATGATAGGAGTGGAAGATCGAAGGTAATTGATAATTAGCTTTCTTCTGCTTTTGGGGGTTTGCTGTCAATTTTCTTGGTCCTGATCAATTGAAAAAACGATGCTTTCAGGGTACTGCTGAAGTTGTTTTCTCTAGGCGTGGTGATGGCTTGGCAGCTGTCAAGCGTTACAACAATGTTCAATTGGATGGAAAACTGATGAAGATAGAGATTGTTGGAACTAATATTCCAGCTCCAACTCTTCCAATGCTCGCTCCAGCTCAGATTCCTTTTCCTACAAACGGAATACTTGGGAACTTCAATGAGAACTTTAATGGCAATTTCAATGGGAACTTCAATGGAAACTTCAGGTTTGTACTGTTTCCAGTTTAGTAATTGCTTGGTTAAATATGATGTCTTATAGAGAAACTTCCTGATATCATTCACTAAAGTCTATTATTCTGATATCATTTGTAATAGCTTTGCAAAGTGAGTATTTAATTTTTTTAGTTAGAATCTTGATGAAATGCTTTTTGGTTAGACTGGAGTCAGCTAAGGTGTATTCTGATACGTTGATTACATTAACCCTTTTACTCCTGTTAAATATTTTGGATATGAAACAGAGGCAGAGGGAGAGGCGGTTTTATGGGACGGCCTCGTGGTGGTTTTGGCGGTGGTAATTTCAGAGGTGGTAGGGGAGCTAGAGGACGTGGTGGTCGTGGCAGTGGAAAAGGACGTGATGAAAATGTATCTGCAGAGGATCTTGATGCTGAGTTGGACAAGTACCACAAAGAGGCAATGGAAACAAATTAGAAAAGGGGAGAACAAAATCTATAGCATGTCTACATGTATTCCTTCATTTAGTGCACGATATGCTTTTGTATTAGTATGATGTTTAGATTGAGGTCAATGGGTCTGACACCATTGATATTGGGGTTTAGCTATTTCTTTCTATTCTCTTTGTGAGCTTTTTAGCTTTTGCAGTTGAGTTCAGAGAAACAGCATTGTGTGTACCGTGGAACTCAAACTCTTCTAAAGTGTTTCTTCGAAACAAATTCCATCTACTGGTCTTTACTAGTGTTTAAGCAGATGATGAAGCCGAGAATGTTCTGGTGGCAGAACACCGTAATTTCAAGTAATTTATCTGCCGTTTTCGTTGAAGGTAAGGTTTCTGTTTATACCAATGCTCTTATTAGTTGTTCTGTAAGAATCAGATTCAAGTGCATGTGTGAAATGTAAATTGCATGAGACGGAAGATGACAAATTCTCTGTCCTTTAACTCCTATTTTTGTCGTATTTAACAGTTCGTTGTTCCGCTCGGCTTAGCTACGAAATTCTAATGGATATGGTGCAGAAAAGCGGATTGGTTAGATATTTTTGGGCAATATTAGGAGATGTGGTTTGGAAAGATCAACAGTGTGGAGTGGTGTGAAATGAAGATGAATCTCGTATAATAATTCTCTTTAGCAAATTTTATTCAGATTCTACTTTAATTATATCAAAGGATCGCCATTAAGTTGTAGTTATTCAACCTCTGTAGTAATATCAAGGCAAATGAAATATACTAAAAATTTACTACGTCAAATACTCAAATGTAAGAAATAAGTGGAACTCAATGTCAATAAAACCATAATATATTACTAAGCTACAATTCCTAAGAGAGTTTTACGACCAACCAAAATATTTACAGGGTCAGACTCATAGAGACATCAACCCTAATTATTAGTTACCGAAGTTTGATTGAGATAGTGTTTAATTTTCAGCTTCTTGGCTTTCGAGACTTCGATCCTTTTCCTATATATAAGAAGAAGACAGACAAAACAATTGTATTATAGTGAAGCGCCAATTTCATTAAGAAAACAGCTTTAAAGAACAAACCTTGTGATGAGTCATGACCATCCTTTACTTGGATAAGGTTCCGATCCTGCAAAACCAGACAATGTTAAGGCACTGTTCCGGTGTTCCCATGGTTGGTGTAGTGTTCAAGAATCAAATCACAAACCATATCATAAACAGGAATTTGGTTGCGCCAAAACTCTAGTGGTGAAACAAGCACCCTTCCTGCAAAACATTAAACAAAAACCTTTTTAACTAAATGCTTTCAACAGAGCCCATTGGAAGTGAAAATTCTACTCTCTATTAACCTGATCTTGACCGTTTCTGTCCCAATGAATCAGTATACACCGCTTTGGTCTTCTGCTTCTTCACTTTATTTTCCGGTGTTACCTTCAAATTACATAACAAGAGCATCAACTACTATTAACCAACCACATGAATATCATAGAATTATTAAATTACAAGGTATCATTATATATCATAGTTAAACTGATGATTCCCAGAATGTGAATTGTGACAAAAGAGGAAATATTTACCTCCACATCAAAGTCAATCTTCCTCTTTGTGTTTCCCCACGACAAGTTTTCTTCACTTTCACATGCAAAATTTTCCTCAGCTGCATGCAAGTCTCTTTTAAGGGTCTTTTCACTCTTCTTTGAATTTCCTTTCTTTGCAGGCTTGCTGCTATTATTCAAGTCTTTTGACAGGGACCGCAGAGATGTCTTTGTTTCCTTCACTCTACCTTTTCGTTGTTCTGAAGTCAGTGATTCTTTAGTAGCTTTCTTACTTATTAGTTTTCCAACCCTATTTGTACCAGGATGCCTTCTAGCACATCCATCCACTGGTGATATCACTTCTTCATTGATAGCCACACAATCATCTCTTTCTACGTCATTGCTTTTAGCATTATTCAAACCTTTCTTACCACGATCTTTATCATTAGTAGTCAGATTCTGGAGTTTCCTTTTGTTCTCTGCACTTTTTACTTTGGCCTCCAAACAATTACTAGGTTCTACTACATTGCCAGTATTTTTGAGGGTCTTACGACTTTTTTTCTTCGATTTTCCTCTCTTCCCAGGTTTGCTACTCTTATCTAAATCTTGAAACAGGGAATGTGGAGATGCCGCTGTTACCTCATGTTCAGTTTTTTGCTGTTCCGAAGTCAGTGATTCTCCAGTAGCACTTGTACTTGTTACTTTATCAACATTATCTGCATCAGTACGCTTTCTACCACATCCATCCGCTAGCGATATCACTCCATTATTGACAGCCTCAGATTCATCTTTTTCTACATCACAGCTCTTAGCCTTATCCAAACCTTCACTACCATCATCTCCATCATTAGTAGTCGGATTCTGGAGTTTACTCTCTTCGAGTTTCCGTTTATCGTCTCTATTATTGATAGCCTCGCATACATCTCTCAGTTCACCTTTTTGCTGTTCTGAAGTCAGTGATGCTCCAGTAATACTCGTACTTGTTACTCTAACAACATTATCTGCACCTGTTTGGTTTTTACCACATCCATCAGCTGACGATATCACTCCATTATCGATAGCCTCACAATAATCTTGTTCTACATCACCGCTCTTAGCCTTGTCCAAACCTTCACTACCAAGATCCCCATCAATAGTAGTCAGATTCTGGAGTTTACTCTCATCGAGTTCCCGTTCCTCGTCTTCATTATTAATAGTCTCGCATTCATCTTTTTCAACATCACCGGTCTTACCCTTGTGCAACTCTTCCATACCATGATCTCCATCACTAGTAGTATTGCGGACTTTACTAGATTCAAGTATCTTTTCCTGCTCTGCATTTTTTCCACCAGATTTTGTTTGCAGATGAAGAGACTTTCTCCTCGCAGTATTTCTATCTTTTGCTCTGGAAACATCTTTAGTATTAATAATCTCTGCCATATGGCCCATATTCATGTCGGGCACAATGCTTTCATCTCTCCCCTCTGCTGAACTATCCTCTATATTCTGTTTATTGTTCTTACATGGTGATAAAATGGGATAACAAGCTGCAAAATTAATCATAGAAGAAGGATATATTAAACACGAATGCATCAGAAGAAAGAAAACACACACGTAAGGATGTTGCTTCAACTCCTAACCTCTAGCGACTGTTGAAGGGACGGTACTGGTATCAGTGCCTAAGGAGGCTCCTCCTCCAGAGCAATTGGTAACAATTCGTTCCCAACAAGGAGGAAACCCGAAGACGAATTCACGGGAAATCTACTCCCAGGACCAGGACAGACCACAGAACACAAGAGCAAGAACAAATCAAAGTCAGTCAAAACATATATGTGTTCATCTTCCTTAGTTCTTTAATAGCTCAAGCTACAACAAGTAAGCACAATCACTAGTTTACCTCAGGGGTAAACCCATTTTTAACAACGCGTTCTTTGTTGAGAAAACCTCTGAGAGTGATATAGATTCCATCAGATGATAAGAGCGTGAAAACATCTAAAGCTTTGATGATTGGAGAAGATGTAAACACACGCACTGCTCGTGACCTGTTAAGGCAAAAATCGAAATTAAAAAAAAATAATAGAAACTAATCACAGGAAATTGTATAGACAAAACTCAAACAGTCCCAATGTCTCTTACTCAAGGGAATCTTCGATTCCTGCAACACCAAATCGTTTGCCTTCGAACTCCACTGGACATTTTACCAACCACCAATCTCTCAGGACAACCTTTTACATAAACCCAGATGAAGAATTCGAGTTTTGAGGAAAGCTCGTGACTGAATCAATCAAACATTAGGAAATGAAGTAAGAGAAGCTCACTCACCGTTCTCCGGAAATACGACTTCGAACCATCGTCGTCGAGATTTGGTTCCCGATGCTCAGCCATGAAGCTGGTTACTTTCTCACCTGAGAAATAATTCGAACCCTAGGAGCAGATTCTCTAGAACAGAGATTTCGTGAATTTTTAATGCGCAAAATTTTTAGGGTTTTTAACTATTTGGAATTGGAAGAAATTTGGAACAATGGGAATGAAATTGCTTTGGCGGGGAAAAATATAACCCGGTTAGATAACCGGTTTGGTTTTATGCTTGTGCTTTGTGTATTTGGTTATCGTTTTCTGATATTTAGATTGGTCTAGTTGTACAGGTCTTCCTTCTGATGCAGGAAAACAATTTTTACATTAATATGTCAAACTCAAATTTTGGTCAACGCACAAAAACTAGGCAAGTAGACATATATAATAGATAGATTCTGAGACGAACTCACAATTCACAAACAGGTTCAGAAGAAGTAAATACGCAAAAGACTTGGAAACTTCTGAAGCTATAGAGATCCATGAGTCGTCCCTGTTATAGTTATGATTATGTAGTAACTAAGTAGTCATTTGGTTTCAGTAAACGTCTGGAGGCGAATTCCCAGAGAAAAAACTTTGTTGTTGTTGTTGTGACCTTTGAAGATGGAGTTTCAAGGCGTAATTGCTTAGCTGATCAAATGATTTTCACAAACGATAACAAAGGACAAATCAGTTAACCAGTTAATTGATCGACAAGATTGAAGTTTCAAGCATTTCTTCCAGTAAGCAAGTTAGTTACCTCTAGTTTATGAACCTGTTCTTGGTATTGCCCCACCACGCCTTTCAAATGCTGTACTTCTTTGGCCTTCTCTTCGTTTTCAGAGCTGCGCTGGTGTTGACTCGCAATGACCCGCTTCAAGATTTGGTTATCATTGATCAAACTCTGTAGAGTCTCCTTTAATGACGCATATTCAAGCTGCAATATAATGAGAGCTCTATCCTGTCATCATCTAGTCCCAAGAAAAACTGACCATTATCAAATGTGAATTTTATACCTCCTTTGAGGCATTGGTGTTATGCTTAATGACCCTCTCTAAAGCATCTAAGATAACCACAACACGTCGCCTCATATCATCAATGTTTTCCGCCTTTGACATCTCCAATGCAAGTCTTTCGACCCATTTAGCTCTGTCAATCATATCTTTATCCCTCCAACTTCCCACAGATCCATCAGAGGACCCAGCTTCTGTTCTACGTAAATCTCCATTGAAAATAATCGAGCTTAAACTCTCTTTTGCCTCTTCAAACACATTGTTCTTGTTGCTCAGAACCTCTCTGACAAACTAATTCAAAATCCCACCATAAACAAAGACTACATAAGCAACAAACTCCAATTTTGGTTATTTGTAGCAAAACATAGCCAGTTCCCAGATTCCATAGCACACAGTAACAATGAATAATAGTAGAATACTAATGTTCCATCAAGTGCCCCTACAATCCGTTAGCTTTGATAGTTGAAGACAAACCAATCAATCCCTCAATGGATACACAAAACTGTCACCTAGCCCATTTCGTGAAAAGAACACTTCTTTCAACACTGTAATACCAATTTAACATAATACACCTCTTTCATGGATGATAGATGTAATGATGTACTTAAAGTAAACGAAAAAGCTATTATTCATTGGTTAAACATGGAAGCTTTATAACACTATATCTTAACGAACCTCAGGATCCATGGTAGGGAACATATGGATCAAAGATGCAACGGGGTCATCGGATCCAGACCCGGTTTCAGAAGAACGGATCGGCGATCCAAACCTTGACCATTTGGATCTCTTATTCGTAGGGGAAGATGAAGACCCGAAGTAATCATCATACTCGACCCGTTTACCGCAAACTCCTGTAGACATTTGTAGCGCAGAGCAATTATCCTAAAACCCCCACAAAGGATTTGACTTTTTAACAAAAGGTGAAAACCCCTGAATCTGAAGTTTGATCTGGGATGATTATTGATTAAAAATTTATGTTCAAATCGATTAGGGAACTTGTGTGATTTTGCTAAGGGTTTTGATTTGGGGATAAGAAGAACAGAGAAAGTGTTGCGGTGATTTTATGAAACTATTTCCAACCATTGTTAAAGAAGTGAAAAAGGAAGAAGAAGACGAAACGATTTTAGTTACTGATAAATATGACTATATCGTTAGATAAACAACAAAGTGGCTGTAGTTTAGTGGTAAGAATTCCACGTTGTGGCCGTGGAGACCTGGGCTCGAATCCCAGCAGCCACACTATCTTTTTATTTATTTCTCTTACAAAATACAAGAAACGACATCGTCGGAATCTCGTTAAACGACATCGTCCTGATTACAATGAATAATAGTAGAATACTAATGTTCCATCAAGTGCCTCTACAATCCGTTAGCTTTAATTGTTGAAGACAAACCAATCAATCTCTCGATGGACAGTAACGATATTTATACAGTCTGGCACACTGGAGTACTTGGAATTATGATGAGTATTTCATACTTTTAACTCTCAAGATTATGTTGTATGCATTACCTCTGTTGTGATACTTATTTTCTATTGCATCAATCTTTTAATGCATCACCTTAGACTACTAGTTCAAAGAATGTTCATTCTAAACTTTTTTGCGTGTCTGTGTTCTCCTAGTTATGTAAATGTGCATGCTTCAATGTCTTATTAAAAAGTTACTTTTGTAGCTCTTTCTGGCTGTAACCATTTGTTGTAGCTCCTTTTAAGTTATAACTTAGGATAGGCTTTGGAACTCATCACAAAGAGAGTGAGAAAGAGAGGGAGTTATCTTGGAGAAAGAACCCTAAAGGAAAGCTTGTCGTAGGCATGTAGTGTGGCATAAGAAGATTATCGGCTACTGTAATAAAACACTCGATAGCTCTGAGTTTTGTTCAGAACAAAGAACCAGAGATTGAATGATTGTCCCGTGAAACAATGCTGGCTTGAAGAAGAGTGAAGAAGAGCGCTGGCTTGAAGTAAGGCAACAACCCACAACAATGCCTATTTTTGAACCGTCCATTTTATTTATCCGTTTCAAACCACCCATTACATTTGTCCCACTGTTAACCAAAAAAACGGTTCAATCTCGGATCGTTTATAACTCTAATCAGATTATACACATGAAAAATATTATTGTATTTATAATTTACCATTTACAAATTAAAATTAAAAACGATATATTTTTTTGGTAAGATTAAAAACGATATTATTATAGCTGGATAGAAAATACTATATTTTTGGAATAATAACATTTTAAAAAAATATAAGAACAAAGTTTTTATTTTATTTTTGTCAAGTATAAAAAAATGGAAAATTATGTAAACAAAACATAAGGAAATAGTTAAATAATTTAATTTAATCAGATTAACAAATTCGCTAAGAACTTGAAATTAAACTCCCATTAAATATTTTTTGTTTTTTACACATTAAGTATATACGGTTATACATTATTTGACCTTCTGGAATAACTGCCACGAAGACCTTATCAAAATTGAACATTATATAGCACTAGTATAGTACCCGTCCGGTGGACGTGTTATCTTTATTTAAAATTAAATTAAAATTAAAATTAATTATAACTTATAAAAAAATAATTTCTAAATTTTTTTTGAAAAATAAGAGAAATTAATTTTAATTCGAAAAGAGGTTTTATTTGGTTTGAACTATCAAATAAACGTGTACATATATATATATATATATATATATATATATCTCTCTTAAAATTCGTTATTAAACGTTAATTATAAAAATCTACTAATGTCAAACTAACAATCACCAAAACATTTGGGAGCTATTTGAGAGCTATTCACCATTACTCATAATATTGCTAAAATATTTTATAAAAT